ATGTTTGTGGGACATGTTTGTGGTCATCTTTGTGGACATGTTTGTGGGTCATGTTTGTGGACATGTGGGTCATGTTTGTGGGACATGTTTATGGACATGTTTATGGACATGTGGGTCATGTTTGTGGACATGTTTGTGGGACATGTTTGTGGACATGTGGATCATGTTTGTGGGACATGTTTGTGGACATGTGGGTCATGTTTGTGGACATGTGGGCCCTGTTTGTGGACATGTGGGTCATGTTTGTGGGACATGTTTGTGGTCATCTTTGTGGACATGTTTGTGGGTCATGTTTGTGGACATGTTTGTGGACATGTGGGTCATGTTTATGGGACATGTTTATGGACATGTTTATGGACATGTGGGTCATGTTTGTGGGTCATGTTTGTGGACATGTTTGTGGACATGTGGATCATGTTTGTGGGACATGTTTGTGGGTCATGTTTGTGGACATGTTTGTGGACATGTGGGTCATGTTTGTGGGACATGTTTATGGACATGTTTATGGACATGTGGGTCATGTTTGTGGGTCATGTTTGTGGACATGTTTGTGGACATGTGGATCATGTTTGTGGGCCATGTTTGTGGGTCATGTTTGTGGACATGTTTGTGGACATGTGGGTCATGTTTGTGGACATGTTTGTGGACATGTGGGTCATGGGCAGCTGATGTGTTCAGTCCCAGGACATATGTTGAGCTGCTTTCCATGTACAGATTGAACAGAAAAGTGCACCCTGATCTATCACACAAATATAGCCAGGTATATCTGTTTTGGTGTTCAGACCATTGTGTTTGTATCATAAGCTGTAAGTTGCATGTCTTGAAAAACTCCCTCACTAAGTTTAGCTGTGATAATAAGATCTTCGCAGCTGACTAGATCGAGAATAATATGCTGCAGCAATGAATGTGGAGGAAAATACATAAAGAGAATGATTTACAATGCCTACAGTATTTCTGTATCAGATTGTACATTGTGAGTTGTAAGACCCGGTGTTATCTGACTGTGTGGCATGAGAGTGTAGCTGCTTCTGGGTACCCCTCTCCACCCGACTGTGTGCTGGGGTCAGGGTACCCCTCTCCACCAGACTGTGTGCTGGGGTCAGGGTACCCCTCTCCACCAGACTGTGTGCTGGGGTCAGGGTACCCCTCTCCACCAGGTTCACTACACACCAGCAACACTGTACACACTGCCACCCTGCTATCAGTGTCTCCTGGCATTGTGCCACAAATCGCCCCGTCTATTGAACACTGTCTTGTTAGAAAGTCATTCACCACGGCTCACTGACTCCAGTCATACCTAGTTGTGTTGACAGAGTGTGCATGTCACTCCCTCACATTGGTTATCACTGGATTTTGTCCTGGTTTGTTGCTGTAGGGACCGCTGATGTAAGTTGTGTATATACGTGTTCCAGCATGACCAGGGAGCACATTCCCTCCGTCACTCGTAGAAACAGACTGTGGTCGTTACAAGAGTCTTACTGATTGATATTCCTTATACAGTAATTTATGTTGTGAATACATGTTGTCCTTCTAGAAATAAGTCAGATGTAGCGTTACTGAGAAATTGTAATCACTGATATAAATTAAGTTAAATTCCTGTTGTGTTATGATTATGGAAGGTCCTATTGAGCTGTGTGTTATCAGCAGCTTGTCAGCGAGAGGGCTTATAGTGACAGTGTCCTGTTGTCAGGAAGTATTAGGATCATATCGGTGAACACTGACCGTCATAGTAGAGCTGGTCAGTCAGTGTCATTGAGAGAACAAACAGATCTTTCACTGTATCTCTTTTGTAATTGATAGTCTTCCTGTACAAAATCCTGCTAATAAGGACCATTCCTCAGTGTGTGATGATTGATGTTGGTTTCCTGAAAGAAAGTCCTCAGTTACACCTTGTGTCCATGACCCAGCATTGTTCACTGCCACAGTCATTCACCTCATTCACCCACTCTCATCCGCCATCATAGTCATTCACCTCATTCACTCGTCCTTATCCACCATCAGTCATTCACCTCATTCACTCGTCCTTATCCACGATCACAGTCATTCACCTCATTCACCCACTCTCATCCACCATCACAGTCATTCACCTCATTCACTCGTCCTTATCCACCATCACAGTCATTCACCTCATTCACCCACTCTCATCCGCCATCATCGTCATTCACCTCAATCACCCACTCTCATCCACCATCATAGTCATTCACCTCATTCACTCGTCCTCATCCGCCATCATAGTCATTCACCTCATTCACTCGTCCTCATTCACCATCATAGTCATTCACTGCATTCACTCGTCCTCATTCACCATCATAGTCATTCACCGCATTCACTCGTCCTCATCCGCCATCACAGTCATTCACCTCATTCACCCGCTCTCATCCACCATCACAGTCATTTACCTCATTCACTCGTCCTCATCCGCCATCACAGTCATTCACCTCATTCACCCACTCTCATCCACCATCACTGTCATTCACCTCATTCACTCGTCCTCATCCAACATCATAGTCATTCACCTCATTCACTCGTCCTCATTCACCATCATAGTCATTCACCGCATTCACTCGTCCTCATTCACCATCATAGTCCTTCACCGCATTCACTCGTCCTCATCCGCCATCACAGTCATTCACCTCATTCACCCACTCTCATCCACCATCACAGTCATTTACCTCATTCACTCGTCCTCATCCGCCATCACAGTCATTCACCTCATTCACCCACTCTCATTCACCATCACTGTCATTCACCTCATTCACTCGTCCTCATCCACCATCATAGTCATTCACCTCATTCACTCGTCCTCATCCGCCATCATAGTCATTCACCTCATTCACTCGCCCTCATCCACCATCATAGTCCTTCACCTCATTCACTCGTCCTCATCCACCATCATCGTCATTCACCTCATTCACTCGTCCTCATTCACCATCATAGTCCTTCACCTCATTCACCCACTCTCATCCGCCATCATAGTCCTTCACCTCATTCACCCACTCTCATCCACTATCATAGTCCTTCACCTCATTCATCCACCTTCATCCACCATCATAGTCCTTCACCTCATTCACTCGTCCTTATCCACCATCATCGTCATTCACCTCATTCATCCACCCTCATCCACCATCACAGTCATTCACCTCATTCACCCACTCTCATCCACCATCAGTCATTTACCTAATTCACTCGTCCTCATCCGCCATCATAGTCCTTCACCTCATTCACTCGTCCTTATCCACCATCATCGTCATTCACCTCATTCACTCGTCCTCATTCACCATCATAGTCATTCACCTCATTCACCCACTCTCATCCGCCATCATAGTCCCTCACCTCATTCACCCACTCTCATCCACTATCATAGTCCTTCACCTCATTCATCCACCTTCATCCACCATCATAGTCCTTCACCTCATTCACTCGTCCTTATCCACCATCATCGTCATTCACCTCATTCATCCACCCTCATCCACCATCACAGTCATTCACCTCATTCACCCACTCTCATCCACCATCAGTCATTTACCTAATTCACTCGTCCTCATCCGCCATCATAGTCCTTCACCTCATTCACTCGTCCTCATCCGCCATCACAGTCATTCACCTCATTCACCCACTCTCATCCACCATCACAGTCATTTACCTCATTCACTCGTCCTCATCCACCATCACAGTCATTCACCTCATTCACCCACTCTCATCCACCATCACAGCCATTCACCTCATTCACTCGTCCTCATCCACCATCATAGTCCTTCACCTCATTCACCCACTCTCATCCACCATCATAGTCATTTACCTCATTCACTCGTCCTTATCCACCATCATCGTCATTCACCTCATTCACTCGTCCTCATTCACCATCATAGTCATTCACCTCATTCACCCACTTTCATCCGCCATCACAGTCATTCACCTCATTCACTCGTCCTCATCCGCCATCACAGTCATTCACCTCATTCACCCGCTCTCATCCACCATCACAGTCATTTACCTCATTCACTCGTCCTTATCCACCATCATAGTCATTCACCTCATTCACCCACTCTCATCCACCATCACAGTCATTCACCTCATTCACCCGCTCTCATCCACCATCATAGTCATTTACCTCATTCACTCGTCCTTATCCACCATCATAGTCATTCACCTCATTCACCCACTCTCATCCGCCATCATAGTCCTTCACCTCATTCACCCACTCTCATCCACCATCACAGCCATTTACCTCATTCACTCGTCCTCATCCACCATCATAGTCATTCACCTCATTCACTCTTCCTCATCCACCATCATAGTCATTCACCTCATTCACTCGTCCTCATCCGCCATCATAGTCATTCACCTCATTCACTCGTCCTCATCCGCCATCATAGTCCTTCACCTCATTCACTCGTCCTCATCCACCATCATAGTCATTCACCTCATTCACTCGTCCTCATCCGCCTTCATAGTCATTTACCTCATTCACTCGTCCTCATCCGCCATCATAGTCCTTCACCTCATTCACCCACTCTCATCCATCATCATAGTCATTCACCTCATTCACTCGTCCTCATCCACCATCATAGTCATTCACCTAATTCACTCGTCCTCATCCGCCATCATAGTCATTCACCTCATTCACTCGTCCTCATCCACTATCATAGTCATTCGCTCGTCCTCATCCACCATCATAGTCATTCACTCGTCCTTATCCACCATCATAGTGATTCACTTCATTCACCCTCCCTCATTCACTGTCACAATCATTCACCTCATTCACCAACCTTATGCACCATCACCATATTTCATCCTAAATTTATCATATCTACTCTTGACGTTTTCGTCGCAGGTCTAGCATGTTCATACACAGACATTCTTTCAGATTGTAAAGTGTACATCTAAGTATTACAATGTCCTTAGCCTTAAGAATTTGATAATATTCCGGTGACTTAAGTTTAAGACACTCTATGCCATGTGATGCACACATCAAGAGCACCAACTCTTGTTTTCCCCAGATGGGCTAAGGATGCCTGAGAAGGGGCGTGTCAAGACTCCGCGGAAGCCGAAACGACTGGCAGCCCGTCTAGACGGACACAACTCCGAGACTGACACCTCCCAGTCTGTCGGTGACAGGTGAGAACCCGACTTCTCCAAGTTTACCTGTCCTTGATTACATCCTTCCTTTATTCCCTCACCTGTGTAAACATTGCTCTGGACATGGACATGTTAAAATAACAGTAGTGTTTCAGCTTTACTGACGGGTGAGATTTATGAAATATTATGTCCTTCACTGTTGTGTCAGCAACTATTAATAAGAATCTTATGTTCATATTCTCTAGTCTGGATCCCAAAAGTCCTCTGGGGCCCATTAGAAAGAGCCCAAACATGTCTGCCGACCAACCCCCTCCAGCCAGACCCAAGACTCTTGCCCCACTGGAGGATGGGCGGGGAGGGACCTCACCCTCTCCCCGGAGGGCCACACCCAGCAAAACCCCCCTCCCTCGAGACAGTGATGACACACCGATGTTACAGAAACTGAAGGACATGAACATAAGGTAAGGGTGGTGGTGGACCTATTGGATGTCCCACAGTGATGTCCTAATTGTTTGATCGGCATCCTCATGTCCTCCAACTATAGGCTGGCATTATCCAGAACCCATGGGTACATAGTAAATGTGTAGCTGACAGTAGATGTATACAGGCAGTGTGTTGGCAGGGTTGTATTTGTGTACAATGCTGTGTTATGAACGTTTCCCAAGGCCTGGTCACTGGGCTGTCCTTTAGTTCTTATTCTCCACATCTTTCCTTCCTCTCTTTCGCTCTCCTAATCTCTCTCTCTTGTTTCATACTTCCTTTGCTCGCTCCACCTTTCTCTCCACCTTTCTCTTACTCTCCCTTTATCTCCAACTTTCTCACCCTTTCTCTTACTCTCCCTTTATCTCCAACTTTCTCACCCTTTCTCTTACTCTCCCTTTATCTCCAACTTTCTCACCCTTTCTCTTACTCTCCTTTATCTCCAACTTTCTCACCCTCTCTTACTCTCCCTTTATCTCCAACTTTCTCACCCTTTCTCTTACTCTCCCTTTATCTCCAACTTTCTCACCCTTTCTCTTACTCTCCCTTTATCTCCAACTTTCTCACCCTTTCTCTTACTCTCCCTTTATCTCCAACTTTCTCACCCTTTCTCTTACTCTCCCTTTATCTCCAACTTTCTCACCCTTTCTCTTACTCTCCCTTTATCTCCAACTTTCTCACCCTATCTCTTACTCTCCCTTTATCTCCAACTTTCTCACCCTTTCTCTTACTCTCCCTTTATCTCCAACTTTCTTTCCCTTTATCCCCAACTTTCTCACTCCTTTCTCTCTCCACTCCCTTTAACTCCCACTTTCCAATTTCCCCTTATTTGCCACCCTTTCACTCTACTCCCTTCCTTTCGTCCACTCACTCACTCCTGTCCACCCACATCCCCTGACATGACAGCCTCCAGGTGCGTCTGTTCCAGCGACGTCAGTGATGGCCCGTATAGCTCCCCCGATGAAGAGTCATCCCTGGTCAACCAGTGCATCCCACCTCCGGATCCCCGCAGACCAAAGTGGTTACATAACATGTTGCAACATGCAGACCAGTAATGCAGTGTGACTACAGATTTGTTGCAATTGTTGCAGTTTTTTCAGTTTGTGGTGTTGTGTCTACACGTCCCCACCTTTCAGCAGCTGGATACTAACGTTCACCCCTCAGTTGCCTCCCTTTGTTTAACCACTCTTGACAACACATTGAGCTACGGAGCCATTCATTTGGATTCTGTAACATTCTGTGTGTTGAAGCTGCACCGTCACTGTTGAATTATACTAACTCAACACTATTTTATGATTTTTCAACACTGCTAACCAGTGAACATGGCATTACAATACAAATTATTCTAAAGTTCTTCAAATCATAGTTAAGTTAGATAAATTATTGTATTTGGGATTTGTAGGCCAGAACAATACTTCCCCTGTTCCCCGAGACCGTCACGTCAGGCACTCTGACTCAAGGATCTTTCTTTCAGTTAGTTAGATGCTGAACATGCCATGACATGCAATAAATTGGCTGAAATATTGTTGACAGTATCAATCACTCACTTACTCCATCAAGCAGTTAATGACCATCTTGCTATCAAGGACTGGTCACATTGTTGTGCAGCCATCATGTGCTGCCACGGTACCAGTTTGCCACTAGTCACCTGACCTCGACAACTAATCATTTTCCCACCATAGTAAAATATTGTAAAACATGACACCTCCATGTGCCCCCACTTCATGCATCTGTATGCCCTTAGCATGTGCTCCTACTTGAGCCACCATGATGTGCCCAACATGTGCCCCTACATGTGCATGTCTGTGTTGCAGTGAGTCAAAGAGGAAGAAGGATGTGCCCACCTGGCTGAATGCAGAGGATGTGGAAGGTAGGGAGTGTGATGTTGTCCAGTCAGGTTCCAGTCTCTGATGGTCACTAAGCTTTCATTGGTCAGTCACTTCTCTCATATCCTTCTGTATAAGCCAGTTGTGACCTATTTCACAGAACTAGATTGTATTGCATCTGTAATCTTTATGCAGATAATGCTGAATAATGTAAATTATATGCGATCTTCATGACCTGTTACAGACCGCTTCAGGAGTCCTCCAGCCAGCAGGGCGGGGCACGTTGAGGGGAAGAGTCCCTCCCCCCAGCCAGGGAAGCCCGGGAAGAAGTCAAGGCAAGATGCTAGCGACACTGTTATGTTGGAGGAGATGGGAGTGGCCACAAGCAGGGTAGACCGATTATCTAGACGTTGGTATAGGGAGTGGTGTCACTAACACTGTCTGGTCACAGCATGCATGCTAGATCTGCCCACTCGCACACAGGGGCACCTGTCCAGTGTTCAAACTTAAGGTAGATCTGGGGTCCTGAAGCTACCTCCTGTAGTATATCATTCTGTTTAACATAAGGCTACAAGATGGACCCCTTGATGTGATGCTTAACTTGGAACACTGCTGGTGTTGTGTGCTGCCAGTGTGCTTTGTTTGATTGTTTTGCACAAATGTTTGCAGTGCCGTTCTAACTTTGCATGGTGTTTTGGCTTTTGAGTTGAGTGTTGTACCGGATGAACCCTGTTAGCCAAGTGCAGGAGAGATACACACAGGCTGTGGATTGGATGACTGTACATTACTCAGTAGTGAACTCCCTGATTCCAAGCTCCACTGGAAGTGGGCGGAGAGTTCATGCCTCCATTGACTCATCTTATGACACTGGTCAAAGGAGCTGTTTGTATTCATATTGCATTCTCAGCTCATTGGGTTGTATGCAGTCTTAGCTGTCCAGTGGGCAGTATAGGGCTTGCATTCTCAACTCTGTTGGGCATATACAACCCCATTCTACCACAGGATGAACAGACACATAGTACGATGAATGTTGTCAAGTCAGGATGTCCAAGGTAGGGATGTTTGAATATTTGATACTGTTTGAGCCTGGACAAGGATACACTTGCCAATAATGATGTGGGCACTAAGATTGTTGTAACCTTAATAGTGGCTTGCAGCATTTGAAGGGCTACAGAGATTTAAGACCTTGCTGCCAACTAGACTCAGACGGGCCTTGCTCACTGTGCTGTTGTGTGTGCTTACATTGCAGACTGTGTTGATAGGGGGTTGTTTCCCTTTACTGTGATAGTATCTGCAAGTCACTGGTTCTTACCCCCACATTCCTTTCACCAAGATGGCGTTCTAAGACAAAGGCGTCACTCGGGACTTTCCTCCCACAATCTGCAGAGATGTCCATATCACTAATACACTGCACAGAGTAGCAGTACACAACTCACTCCGTCAACACAACCCCGTCAGCCCCTTACCAAGAGCAGCAAACTATGACCATTCATGCTTCACCCCTCACAGACCAGCATTAGATGTGTTCACGATGCATAGTTTGCAGTTATGAGCTTCCAGCTTTTGAACAATCCACCCACTGCCTGCCTGCTCCAGTGTTGTTGTCGGCTGGTGGTCTTTAGTTGGTTTCTGTTGGGCCTACAGGGATAAAGGGGCCTACAGGGATAAAGGGGCCTACAGGGATAAAGGGGCCTACAGGGATAAAGGTGGATCAGTAACAGTGACACAATATCTTGGTCACATCATTCTGTCATTCTGACATAACCATTACGGAATGTCCTCTGATCTTGGTCAAGAAGAACTAAGATCTGATTTGTATACTGGGACATTCATAAAATATCCTGTCGTATAGTATACAATACTGTCATGAGGTAACTTGACATACAATACTGTCATGAGGTAACATGACATACAATACTGTCATGAGGTAACATGACATACAATACTGTTATGAGGTAACATGACATACAATACTGTCATCAGGTAACATGACATACAATACTGTCATCAGGTAACATGACATATAACACTGTCATGAGGTAATTTGAGATACAACACTGTCATGAGGTACCATGACATACAGTACTGTCATGAGGTAACATGACATACAACACTATCATGAGGTAACATGACATACAGTACTGTCATGAGGTATCATGACATACAACACTGTTATGAGATAACATGACATACAGTACTGTCATGAGGTAACATGACATACAACACTGTCATGAGGTAACATGACATACAATACTGTCATGAGGTAACATGACATACAATACTAACATGACATACAATACTGTCATGAGGTAACTTGACATACAACGCTGTCATTAGGTAACATGACATACAATGCTGTCATGAGGTAACATGACATACAATACTGTCATGAGGTATCATGACATACAATACTGTCATGAGGTAACTTGACATACAACACTGTCATGAGGTAACATGACATACAACACTGTCATGAGGTATCATGACATACAATACTGTCATGAGGTAACATGACATACAATACTGTCATGAGGTAACATATACTGTCATGAGGTAACTTGACATACAACACTGTCATGAGGTAACATGACATACAGTACTGTCATGAGGTAACATGACATACAACACTGTCATGAGGTAACATGACATACAATACTGTCATGAGGTAACATGACATACAATACTGTCATGAGGTAACTTGACATACAACGCTGTCATGAGGTAACATGACATATAACACTGTCATGAGGTAACTTGAGATACAACACTGTCATGAGGTACCATGACATACAGTACTGTCATGAGGTAACATGACATACAACACTATCATGAGGTAACATGACATACAGTACTGTCATGAGGTATCATGACATACAACACTGTTATGAGATAACATGACATACAGTACTGTCATGAGGTAACATGACATACAACACTGTTATGAGATAACATGACATACAATGCTGTCATGAGGTAACATGACATACAATACTGTCATGAGGTATCATGACATACAATACTGTCATGAGGTAACATGAAATGGACTACTGTTACACTATCAGGTTGCATTACTCTTCTGACACTGATGATACATGACACATGACACTTTAGACTGCCTTCTTCGTTGTACAAGTGAGTAGATAAAGCTTGGTGTTTGTGACCAGACCTCCTTGTAGTGAGCCCCGCCTGTACCAAGTCTCCCCCTGCTTGGCTCTGTGGCTTGGCTCCATGGAACCACGGCTTGTCTCCGCTGCTTGGATCTGTGGCTTGGCTCCGTGGCTTTACAGTTCAACTGTCAAAATATTCTTGTTTAGTAATGAGTACTATCAGTAAATTTCATAAGCAATATTGGATCAGTTAAAGACAGTTACCATCACCAGCTGACACAGTGTAACCTTACTTCACTCATTGACAGCCTCACATACTAGATGATAGCTAACTATAGGACTCACTTCACCTGATGAAAGAACTGTGCACTGTTTGATTGGCTAACTACACACGAATGAAACTCACACATTTAAAATTGACTTAATAGTAACTAAAGTAATATGAAAAAATAAGTCAAGGCTCAGTGCTTAACAATTTTAGAAAAGCTGATTATTGAAATCATAGATTATTTAGCAGTCTTGTGTGGTCTGTGATGTAGAAAGATTTTATCTTATGACTACAGTTGTTTATGATGTAGAACAGAGGTGGACATTTGTAGTAATCCCATGGCAATCTCAAGAGTCCTTTTGCATGAAGTGATGTGATTTTACTGTATCCAATGCTGTGAGTCTCAGACAACTGAGTGCAAGTCCTGGCTTTAAAATATCACATGTTGCTGAATATACTCAAGAGGTTTAAATCCAGTTTTCTACTGGCCACCTAGGCTTCCATATTGCAAAAGCTGTTTCTGGCGTGTTTGTCGGGTACATTTTAGACCATCAGCATGTCATGGTAGTATTTAGACCATCAGCACTGTGGACTGAGACAAAATGTCTAAGCTGTTAAAATACCTGGGTAAACATGGGACTTGGTCATTGAGCATGTGTATCCATACTTGATGGATGTGGATGTCTTCTGTACAGAGTCGACCACCTCACTACAGTCCTGGACAAAGATGGCAACCAAAGTACAGCTGCTTCCCCATCTGCTGAGAGAGGTAGGAGGTTCACACTATAATATGCAGATTTCACAGCTACAAAGGATACTTTGATTATGTTGAGTGCTGTCTGATGGATGTGATAAAGTTTGTAAATATAAACACTGCATAACACTTTTGTGTGGTATTGCTTTGACAATAGTGACCTCACAATAGTTTAATGTCAGAATTCTCAAAATATCACATTTCTTTTGATAAGTGATAGCCAGTTATGGCCCGAATCTACAACAAATTTATCTGCAGCAAGAGACCTGGAGTTGGTACCAGTGAGCCGTTAACTTGTGTTCACCCATCCTGCCCCCATTTCCTACTTCTCCATCTCTTTGTGTTGAGCAGCTGAGGCGGAAGACCAGGCCATGCCCATGACGAGGATACAGAATAACCGCGCCCGGTGGCGGGCGTCACACGACAACCTGGAGGAGGAGTGGGGGTCTCTGTCACTGTTCAACAGACAGCAGCGTGGCCGCTTGTCCATAGACATGGGGGGTAAGTGGCTGCACTAATATGGGTTCTCTCAGGTGAGAGTCGGGTTCATGCTGATTATGATCCTTGGCCAGACAGCCTGTTTATGATGTGTGGTTTATGATGTTTGTCATTGTAGAAGTCCCTCCCACGTAAAGACAACACTGAGAAATGTTATTCCACAAAACCAACATCCACTGTCCGCAGCAGGGATTAAGACACTACATGTAATGTGATGAGACATTGTTTCTGCATTCATTCTATCCAACTGTTTGGCAGATGGAGCAATGGAGGAGTACTTGAGTGGCATCAGGAAAGATGGAGAAACAGCTGGTGAAACTGTTGCCCAGGAAGATGCTGATCAGTGAGTACACGCTGTTTAGAAGTAGATTTGCCATGTATTATAGAGCTTACTGATTGTACTGATAATCTTCCAGAACCTTTACAATTGTCAGTGAATAGAAACTATTTATATTGAGTTTGGTAGGACCTGTATTTCCTTTGTGTGGGTTCCATGGTAGAGGTAGGACATATTTTGTGGTTTGACTGTTATGACAGATATTCGTGTGAACTATTCTGAATTCAACCACAATGTTCTGTTGCAAGGGATACGGATTTTGTAATCCCGGAGCTGCCCTATGGTCAGGAGCTGGTATTGAACATCAAGACCACGTGGGGGGACCAGCACTATGTTGGCCTCACCGGCATCGACATCTTCTCCAGCAAGGGAGAACCTGTCACCATCAAACAGGTCAGGGTAGCACATGTCTCACAGTCACATGTCACTATGTCTTGCAGTCTTATGTTTCTATGTCTCACAGAGACATGTTACTGTGTTTCACAGTCACATGCCACTATATCTGACAGTCACATGTCTCTATATCTGACAGTCACATGTCTCTAAGTCTCACAGTCACATGTATCTTTGTCTCAGTCACATGTCACTATGTCTTGCAGTCTTATGTTTCTATGTCTCACAGAGACATGTTACTATATCTCACAGTCACATGCCACTATATCTCACAGTCACATGTCTCGAAGTCTCACAGTCACATGTCTCTATGTCACAGTCACATGTCTCTATGTCTCATAGTCACATGTCTCTTTATCTCACAGTCACATGTCTCTATGTCTCACAGTCACATGTCTCTATGTCTCAGTCACATGTCTCTATATCTCACAGTCATATGTCTCTATATCTCAGTCACATGTCTCTATGTCTCACAGTCACATGTCTCTATGTCTCACAGTCACATGTCTCTATATCTCACAGCCACATGTCTCTATGCCTCAGTCACATGTCTCTATATCTCACAGCCACATGTCTCTATGCCTCAGTCACATGTCTCTATATCTCACAGTCACATGTTCCTATATCTCACAGTCACATGTCTTTATGTCTCAGCCACATGTCTCTATGTCTCATAGTCACATGTCTCTTTATCTCACAGTCACATGTCTCTGTCTCACAGTCACATGTCTCTATGTCTCACAGTCACATGTTTCTATGTCTCAGCCACATGTCTCTATATCTCATAGTCACATGTCTGTATGTCTCACAGTCACAGGTCTCTATGTCTCACAGTCACATGTCTCTATGTCTCACAGTCACATGTCTCTATGTCTCACAGCCACATGTCTCTATATCTCACAGTCACATGTCTCTATATCTCACAGTCACATTTATCAAAGTCTGGTCATGAATGGGCTGTCCACACCATACTCATGCAAGAATCATTGTTAATCATTGTGTTGTTTTAGCATCTCTTACAACAATGAGATAACACAGAAACATGCAGATGCTGTTTGAAGCCACTACATTGCTGCTTCATTTCATCATCATCCGTCAGTAATTCTGCAGCAGTAACACCATTTCACCAATCATTCTTCAGATCTCAGCCAAACCGAAGGACATCAATGAGCTTCCTGATTACCACAAAGACCCTCGAGTCATCACCAACATCATCGACGGCGTTAACAGAACGCGGGACGATGTGCACATGTGGCTGGCGCCATTCACCCCATCTGGTGACCACAAAGTGTTTATGACCTTTGAGAAACCCTGCAAGATTGCCATGATCAGAATCTGGGTAAGTCATCCTACAAGATTGCCATGATCAGGATCTAGGTAAGTCATCCTGGCTTGGATTGCCATGATCAGAATCTGGGTAAGTCATCCTGGCTTGGATTGCCATGATCAGGATCTGGGTAAGTCATCCTGGCTTGGATTGCCATGATCAGGATCTGGGTAAGTCATCCTGGCTTGGATTGCCATGATCAGGATCTGGGTAAGTCATCCTGCAAGATTGCCACGATTTGAATCTAGGTAAGTCATCTTGGCTTGGATTGCCATGATCAGGATCTGGGTAAGTCATCCTGGCTTGGATTGCCATGATCAGGATCTGGGTAAGTCATCCTGGCTTGGATTGCCATGATCAGGATCTGGGTAAGTCATCCTGGCTTGGATTGCCATGATCAGGATATGGGTAAGTCATCCTGCAAGATTGCCACGATCAGAATCTAGGTAAGTCATCCTGGCTTGGATTGCCATGATCAGGATCTAGGTAAGTCATCCTGGCTTGGATTGCCATGATCAGGAAACATGCCTAATGGAAATAATGTTTGGTCATGACTATCATTGACACGAAATTCTTTAAAAATTCGAAATTGTTGAATAAAAAATGAAAAAGGCAAAACAAGTTTTGAGTTACTTTAGAAGTTCCCTCTCCTGTGTAGAACTACAACAAGTCCCGCATCCATTCCTACCGGGGTGCAAAGGATGTGACGATGACCCTGGACAAGCAGCTCGTGTTTAAAGGAGAGATCGCTCGGGCGTGTGGCGGCGTGGAGGGGGGAACAGAGGCCTTCGGAGATGTGAGTACAACAAAATGTAACACAGTTGCCAGTGCCAGACATTGGTGGTATGCAGGTCCACATCACTGTATTGCTTGTTATAAAACACAACTGGGGCGGTGGGGTAGCCTAGTGGTTAAAGCGTTGGCTCGTCACGCCGAAGACCAGGGTTCGATTCCCCACATGGGCACAATGTGTTAAGCCCATTTCTGGTGTCCCCAGCCGTGATATTGCTGGAATATTGCTAAAAGCGGCGTAAAACTAAACTCAGTCAGTATAAAACACAACTGAGTTGGATCATGTGGTCAGACTTGGTTTACAATACTTGGTTACAATACTGGGCAAACCATACTGATTTAGTCATGATCACTATTTTAGTCACCAGTTGGCTTTGCTCATGTTCATCATTTACAGGTTGCTGCGATAGGGCTAGCAGTTTGCGGAGTCTCTATTAGAGCAAGAGCCTTTAATTTGTTGTGTTAACCTGGCGTATTCTCCATTAAGATGGAGTGGCTATGTATTTGGTGAGTGCCAGAGCAGCTATCTACAGTTGGGTTGTAAGTTGATCAATCCCCTACAGGATACAACTGTTTGATATATTTCAGACAATTCTGTTCACAATGGATGAGGGTATCCTTGAAGAGGTGTCAAAGAATGACGAGGCATACGATGGAGACATGCTCAGTGATGACGAGGAAGATGTCCCCTTCGAGAGGCCCAGCACAGCCGACAATGATGTGAGCACCATTACCTCTAGCTAGGACATCAGCTAAATATTCAGCTATGAATGGCATTACATATGGAAACAATACTCAAGTAGTAAATCATGTCTCAAGGTTTGTTAGCTTCATGTCAATGCTTGTGGCCACTACTGAAGACCGGATACACATGAGTCTGCCGTGAAGTTGATGGTCGTAACTGAAATACTGTTGAAGGCAGTGTTAAACGAAACTCACTGTTTCCTCCTGAGTGGGGCAGGGGATTTGGATCTGTGGAGGTTGTGGTAGACACAGATTTTCCCTAACCAAGGGTAATGGTTTCAGGCTGAATTGCCTGGTTGTGTGTCATGGCATATTCCATCTTATATCTACTCACTATGGAGAAATGGCAGTGAAATACAATGAAATCACTGTTACTGGATAGACTGAAGAAGGAAACATTCCAGTTGGGTCTGTTTGTTATAACTGGTGTTGCCTCATCTCTGATCTGCTGTGCAGGAGCGGCCGTTCACACGGGCAGCAGGAGGCCTCCTCAAGCAGCAACAGACTACTCCGAGACCAACCACCAGCATGGTGACCTACGATGGAGATCTGGTTGTCTACAAGACCAAAAGTAAGTCACAAGTTGCTTCTTTCATGAGAATCTGCAGGATATGGCGTTTCTGAATATAATCTGACTGTGTATATACTGATGTTGCAATGCTAGAGCTCAACATCACTGTTCGCTATATGTGATTGTTATAGTGTATATATACTGATGTTGCAGGGCTAGAACTCAACATCACTGTTCGCTATATGTGATTGTTATAGTGTATATATACTGATGTTGCAGGGTTAGAACTCGATTTCACTGCCACATGGGGAGACATGCACTACCTGGGTTTGTCTGGCCTGGAGATTGCAGACAAGGATGGGGAACCGATTCCACTGAAGATGTCCATGGTGGTTGCCAACCCCCGTGATCTGCACTGTCTGCCTGGACATGAACGGGATGACAGGACACTGGACAAGTAGGTCAATCTTTCTCTTGAACTCAGTCTGAGTTATAAGTCACTCGTGGGTTGTACTGGATATGGGAGCTTGCCCTGTACATCACTCCAAACATTGGCTGCTGACAGTATTTACTATAATGGTGGACTAAAATTGTGAAACAAATGCTGACAAAGTGGGGGAATTAGAGTTTGGAATGCGGGAGGCCTGTTCAAAGTGTTCAACAGTCTCTATCTCTGACTGCAGACTGATCAACGGCAACAACATCACCCTGTCTGACGAGAATATGTGGCTAATCCCCTTCACACCAGGAAACAGCCACACCATCACCATCAACTTTGACCAGCAGGTGCTTGTATCAGCCATCCGCATCTGGAACTATAACAAGACACCTGAGGACACCTACAGAGGCGTAAGTAATGGGGTTAGTACTGGAGGAGACGGTTACAGGGGGGTTAGGGGGTTACTACTGGAGGAGACCAGAGGGGTTAGTACTGGAGGAGACCAGAGGGCAGTACTGGAGGAGACCAGAGGGGCAGTACTGTAGGAGACCAGAGGGCAGTACTGGAGGAGACCAGAGGGGGCAGTACTGTAGGAGACCAGAGGGGTACTGTACTGTAGGAGACCAGGAGACCAGGGGGGCAGTACCGGAGGAGACTAGAGGGGGCAGTACCGGAGGAGACTAGAGGGACCAGTACTGGAGGATTCTAGAGGGACCAGTACTGGAGGAGACCAGAGGGCAGTACTGGAGGAGACTAGAGGGGGCTGTACTGGAGGAGACTAGAGGGGGCAGTACTGGAGGAGACCAGAGGAGGCAGTACTGGAGGAGACCAGAGGGACCATTACTGGAGGAGACTAGAGGGACCATTACTGGAGGAGACTAGAAGGGGCAGTACTGGAGGAGACCAGAGGGCAGCAGTACTTGAAATCTATTGAGGACTTTGGGGTTAATTTGATGTTTATTGGAAAATGTGGGGAGGACTTAGGGGTCAGTATGGGGGAACTTGGTGGTCAGTACTGAGCGAACTTGGGTCAGAACTGAACGACAAGAGGATAATTCGTGAAATGCTTTGTGTCCAGGCCAAAGTGATGCACGTCAGGATCAACGGGAAGCAGGTGTCTCCTGATGAGGGCTACTTACTGAGGAAGGGTCCAGGAAACTGTCACTTTGACTTTGCCCAGGAAGTCAGCCTGTCCACTTCCCACCGGCCCCAGAACAGCTACCCACAGTCCTCCAGGTGAGTGTTAGACAGGCATCAGGTGTGCTGCTAGATGGACACATCAGTTGATGTAGCTACATTATTATCACAATGGTGTAACAGTATTCCTTCACTTATTCCATGATGTTTTGTCTCCAGCTCGGCAGGCGTGGACTCCAGTATATCGTACGAGGTGGTGCAGATGCCCTGTGGATGTATCCTTTAGCAGAAAGTGTTCACGTACCAATCAGACGCATTGTGAGAGATCCTTAGCGCATAGTGGTTATGTTCTTGGAAGAAAATGTGAAGCGTTATTGAAAGCGTGGTGGTCACTATGTCTGACGAATGTGAGACGTCCTTGAAAGAGTGTTGGTTAATGTGGTTGATATGTGTGAGATGTCCTTGAATAGGTGCTGGTTCCTCTGTTTGACAAATGTGAGATGTCCTTGAGTGGGTGCTGGTTACCATTGTTGATGAGTGTTAGACATCCTTCAAACATAGTTGGTCGCTATTGATGAAGACGATCTCTCATTAAATGAGAACCTTTAACTTCTAAATGCCACTGACAAATGAATGTGAAAAGGCCACTGCAATAGAGAGGTGACATATCTCCATTCCCAACCTAATCTCTCTCATCTAGTCTCAGTGGTTGTTGTCTTTGACCCGATCAGTCATCTACCAGCTGCAGCTGTTCACAACATGGGGAGACCAGTACTATGTCGGCCTCAACGGCATCCAGGTGTACGACTCCTGCTTCAACATCATACAACTCACCGACAACAGTAAGTCAACTACACATACAGCTCACCGACAACAGTAAGTCAACTACACATACAGCTCACCGACAACAGTAGGTCAACTACACATACAGCTCACCGACAACTGTAGGTCAACTACACATACAGCTCACCGACAACAGTAGGTCAACTACACATACAGCTCACCGACAACAGTAGGTCAACTACACATACAGCTCACCGACAACAGTAAGTCAACTACACATACAACTCACCGACAACAGTAAGTCAACTACACATACAGCTCACTGGACAACATACAGTAGGTCAATCTGACATGACAACTAGGTCAACTACACATACAGCTCACCGACAACAGTAAATCAACTACACACAGCTCACCGACAACAGTAAGTCAACTACACATACACCAACAACAGTAAGTCTCACATACAGCTCACTGACAACAACAGCAACACATCAGCTCTGACACACATACAGCAGCTCACCGACAACAGTAGGTCAACTACACATACAACTCAAATACACATACAACTCACCACAACAGCAAGTCAACTACACATACAGCTCACCGACAACAACAGTAGGTCAACTACACATACAGCTCACCGACAACAGTAGGTCAACTACAACACATACACACACAGCTCACCAACAACAGTAGGTCAACTCATACAGCTCACCGACAACAGTAGGCTCACCGACAACAGTAGGTCAGCAAGTCAACCACACATACAGCTCACACAACAGCTCAACTACACATACAGCTCAACAACAGTAGGTCAACTACACATACAGCTCACCAACAACAGTAGGTCAACTACACATACAGCTCACCGACAACAGTAGGTCAACTACACATACAGCTCACCACCGACAACAGTACATCAACTACACATACAGCTCAATCTACACACAACAACAGTAGGTCAACTACACATACAGCTCACCGACAACAGTAAGTCAACTACACATACAGCTCACCAACAGTACAACAGTAGGTCAACTACACATACAAGTCAACTACAACATGCAGCTAAGTCAACTACACATGCAGCAGCTCACCGACAACAGTAGGTCAACTACATAGCAGCATACAACTCAACTACACATACAACACCGACTGTAAGTCAACTACACATACAGCTCACCAACAACAGTAGGTCAACACTACACATACAGCTCACCACTGATACAACAGTAGGTCAACTACACATACAGCTCACCGACAACAGTAAGTCAACTACACATACAGCTCACCGACAACTGTAGGTCAACTACACATACAGCTCAACTACACACACAACAGTAAACAGTAACTCAACACACATACAGCTCACCGACAACAGTAGGTCAACTACACATACAGCTCACCGACAACAGTAAGTCAACTACACATACAGCTCACCAACAACAGCAAACACAGTAGGTCAACTACACATACAGCTCACCAACAACAGCAAGTCAACTACACATACAGCTCACCGACAACAGTAGGTCAACAACACATACAGCTCACCGACAACAGTAGGTCAACTACTCATACAACTCACCAACAACAGCAAGTCAACTAGACATACAACTCACCAACAACAGCAAGTCAACCAGACATGCAACTCTCCCAAGTACATAAATCTATGGGTGTTGAGACAGTTGTGGTTCATTTCAGATATTTCTGCCTTTCCTGAGAGCTGCAATGTCCTGGACAACATCAACAATGATGTGCGCACACCCGATAAGCTGATCGACGGCCAGAATGGCACGACAGATGGGAAACACATGTGGCTGGCTCCTCTACTTCCCTCAATAGTGAGTAGACACCATAGAGAGCCAGTGTCATGATGAGTGAATAAATGTTGCTGACAATTGTTGAATGAACACATCAAACTTCGAGTACCGAGACTAGCAGACAACCCATGGCAGTCTTCAAGTTCATGGCACATGTTTAACCTCCAGAAACCAGATATTTAATATTTGTGGTGATGAAAGATTTGGATTTTGGATCTTGTTTCACTGCTTCAAGGAGGCTTCTATTCTCTGAAAGCAGGATGCAAACAATTATTAAAGAATTTCTAGCCATCCAACTAGTGCAAAGAACATTGTTTGTGGCACAAATAGACCAAAATAAATATTCAGTGTTGTTGTTGTTGTTGTGGTTGGGGAGCAGCTGCTCTGACATGACACCTCTGTCATCTCCAGGTGAACCGGGTGTACATCATATTTGACCAGCCCACAACCATCTCCATGATCAAGATATGGAACTACAGCAAAACACCAAACAGAGGGGTCAAGGACTTTGGGGTGAGTTGCCTGAATTCCTGTGATTTAACTTAACAGCAGGGTCAGGGACTTTGGGGTGAGATCCGCGAATGGTCCTGTGATCTAACCTAACAGCGGGGTCAGGGACTTTGGGGTGAGTTGTCCTGTGATCTAACCTAACAGCGGGGTCAGGGACTTTGGGGTGAGTTGTCCTGTGATCTAACCTAACAGCAGGGTCAGGGACTTTGGGGGGAGTTGCGTGAATGGTCCTGTGATCTAACTTAACAGCAGGGTCAGGGACTTTGGGGTGAGTTGCGTGAATGGTCCTGTGATCTAACTTAACAGCAGGGTCAGGGACTTTGGGGGGAGTTGCGTGAATGGTCCTGTAATCTGCCTTAACAGCAGGGTCAGGGTCTTTGGGGTGAGTTGCGTGAATGGTCCTGTGATCTAACCTAACAGCAGGGTCAGGGACTTTGGGGTGAGTTACGTGAATGGTCCTGTGATCTAACCTAACAGCAGGGTCAGGGACTTTGGGGTGAGTTGCGTGAATGGTCCTGTGATCTAACTTAACAGCGGGGTCAGGGACTTTGGGGTGAGATCCGTGAATGATCCTGTGATCAAACTTAACAGCGGGGTCAGGGACTTTGGGGGTGAGATCCGTGAATGGTCCTGTAATCTAACTTAACAGCGGGGTCAGGGACTTTTGGGTGAGATCCGTGAATGGTCCTGTGATCTAACCTAACAGCGGGGTCAGGGACTTTTGGGTGAGATCCGTGAATGGTCCTGTAATCAAACTTAACAGCGGGGTCAGGGACTTTTGGGTGAGATCCGTGAATGGTCCTGTGATCAAACTTAACAGGGGGGTCAGGGACTTTGGGGTGAGATCCGTGAATGGTCCTGTGATCTAACTTAACAGCGGGGTCAGGGACTTTGGGGTGAGATCAGTGAATGGTCCTGTGATCTAACTTAACAGCAGGGTCAGGGACTTTTGGGTGAGATCCGTGAATGGTCCTGTGATCTAACCTAACAGCGGGGTCAGGGACTTTGGGGTGAGATCCGTGAATGGTCCTGTGATCTAACCAAACAGCGGGGTCAGGGACTTTGGGGTGAGATCCGTGAATGGTCCTGTGATCTAACCTAACAGCGGGGTCAGGGACTTTGGGGTGAGATCCGTGAATGGTCCTGTGATCTAACCTAACAGGTTGAGCACATTCCTATAATGTCACGGAGGCTAACGTGAACCAGGAAGTATTTCGTCATTTGGCAATAACTGTTGATTGACTGTTTGGTGTGATTTTAAACCTGTCCCTAATTAGTCCCGACCCATTTACTGGGGTATCCAAATAAGAGACCCTTTTAGATATAAATAAGCTGAGTGCCCAAGGTGCTAAATGCACAGAATATGGTAGGTTGATATTGTAACAGGGCCAAAGGAATAATTTTTTGAGTGTGGGGCTTATCCAAAATATTATGCGTGGTTGAATATTATTGAGAGATTTACAATAACCCCTGCCTCCCTGATGACAGTTGCTTGTGGACGACCTACTGGTGTACAATGGGCGCCTCCAGGCGGTGACAACAGGCGCCCGCGGCATCCTGCCCCACTGCCAGGGTCCCCAACAGTACCACACAGTGCTCTTCACAGATAACAAGGAAATACTAAAGAGGGAGAAGAACACCATCATCAGGTGAGTCTGCAGCAGCAGCCAAGGGGTCTCGATCAAGACAGACAGATTGGAGAGCACTCATAAAAACTGTTTGCACACTTACTAATGGTAGCTGTTTGCCCAGTGATAGATATGAGATATTTGCCCCAAGTGACTGATGCAAGCTGTTTGCCCCGTGTGTGTGATGCGAGCTGTTTGCCCCGTGTGTGTGATGCGAACTGTTTCCCCGTATGACTGATGCAAGTTGTTTGCCTCGTGTGACTGATGCTAGCTGTTTTCCCCATATGACTGATGGGAACTGTTTGTCCCGTGTGACTGATGCGAACTGTTTGTCCCGTGTGACTGATGCGAACTGTTTGTCCCGTATGACTGATGCGAACTGTTTGTCCCGTGTGACTGATGCGAACTGTTTGTCCCGTGTGACTGATGCAAACTGTTTGTCCCGTGTGACTGATGCGAACTGTTTGTCCCGTGTGACTGATGCAAACTGTTTGCCCCAAGTGACTGATGCGAACTGTTTGTCCCGTGTGACTGATGCGAACTGTTTGTCCTGATGTGACTGATGACGAACTGAACTGTTTGTCCTGTGTGACTGATGCTAGCTGTTTGTTTGTGACTGATGGGAACTGTTTGTCCCGTTAATGACTGATGCAAACTGTTTGCCCGATGTGACTGATGCCAACTGTTTTCCCCCATATGACTGATGCGAACTGTTTGTCCCGATGTGACTGATGAACTGTTTGCCCAAACTGTTTGCCCCGTGTGACTGATCGCGAACTGTTTGTCCCTGTGACTGATCACGAACTGTTTGTCCCGACTGATCACGAACTGTTTGACTGATGACTGATGCGAACTGTTTGTCCCGTGTGACTGATGCGAACTGTTTGTCCCGTGTGACTGATGCAAACTGTTTGCCCCGTGTGACTGATGCGAACTGTTTGCCCCGTGTGACTGATGCGAACTGTTTTCCCGTATGACTGATGCGAACTGTTTGTCCTGTGTGACTGATGCTAGCTGTTTTCCCCATATGACTGATGAGAACTGTTTGTCCCGTGTGACTGATACGAGCTGTTTGCCCCGTGTGACTGATGCGAACTGTTTGTCCCGTGTGACTGATGCGAACTGTTTGTCCCGTGTGACTGATGCGAACTGTTTGTCCCGTGTGACTGATGCGAACTGTTTGTCCCGTGTGACTGATGCGAACTGTTTGTCCCGTGTGACTGATATCTGAAGCTGTTTGTCCGATGTGACTGATCACGAACTGTTTGTCCCCGTGACTGATCACGAACTGTTTGTCCCGTGTGACTGATGCGAACTGTTTGTCCCGAACTGTTTGACTATGACTGATGCGAACTGTTTGCCCGATGTGACTGTGTCTGCTGTGCCCAGTGTGACTGATCTGAAGCTGTTTGCCCGTGTGACTGTACGAACTGTTTGCCCCGTGTGACTGATACGAACTGTTTGCCCCGTGTGACCGTCTGCTGTACACAGTATGATGTTTGTGTTGCAGCAACCAGACAGAGGACCAGGACATTCAACTGCTGAATGACAAGCAGATCGTCAGCAAGTACGCCAACCCCAAGTCAGCCCAGACTGGGAAACCTGTCAACCAGGGTAAGTCAGTGTCAGTCAACCAGGGCAAGTCAATGTCAGTCAACCAGGGTAAGTCAATGTCAATGTCAGTGTCAGTCAACCAGGGCAAGTCAATGTCCGTCAACGAGTATAAGTCAATACCCGTCGATGTGTTCAGATTACAGGTGGTTCATTTTCCAATGTCCTGCTTTGTTTTTCAGCTCTCCGTCCCAAGACAAGTGTGCCACTGAAGAGGAAATGAGACTGATCTGCCGGCAGACAGTGGCTACACCTCGCTATCAACCCACCATGCGTTGCCTTCATGACTGCTTTACATATCGTGCACTCAATCAACCTGCACCGACTTCTGTATAGTTGTGCATAATTTACTGTCATATTGTTATCAACTTTACAGGATGTAGTAATCACATGACAAATGTTTTAAACTGTTCCTTATATTGTTGTGATGGCTGTTTCTGTGATAAAGTTAATCATGCTGCTGTGTGTTGGAGGCAGCAAGCACCTGTTGGACATGCCCTGTAAGTGTATCAGTCGAGATGGGTGTTGGGTGAGGAAAATATGCATAGTGGTGTTTGTCTCAAGGAAGGTGTCTGTGAAATGTGTAGTGTTCTATAATTGGTCATAATATTCAGATTCAGAATCTATGAATTGTAGAACATCTAGGGATGGCAGTCTGATAAAAAGGTACATTTTACACTCTCTCAACCCAATAGTGTCCCAAGTAGTTGGTTATAATGGCTGCAGGGGCTGAACTGAGCTAGACTGTGATGACACACCGGCTTGACTGACCAGCGTATATTCATGCAAACCAGAATAAAACAGTTGGATTAAGAGTTTGGGAGTAACATGTCAGACATGTATAGTTTTCTCAAATGTCAAAAAATATTAGCAGTTTCTGCATTGTTGAAATCTGTAAGAATCTGATCTTATCATCCTAAGTAGACACGGCTTTCATGCTTTTATCACTGCTTCTTGAGACTGCTATAGTATAGAGTCTGAGACCTTTGTTTCACACTTTTGGATTAACACAAACACGATAAGTGATGCTAGTTTAATCTTAAATGAGTCTGGTACATAGAGTCCAAATATAGGTACACTTGTCATAAATCATATGTGATACACACGAGTGTCACCTGCCCTTGCCATTAGGCAACAATAGTCTGAAGTGTGAGATAAATCCCTGTCAGCACTTCACAAACAGCCTACTGTTAGCATGGATTCCTAGCAATGTCTGGCAATAAGGTCAGTCACAGTTTGCTGTATACGTTTACAAATAGAGGCAATATTTTTTTACTGTTTACAAGATATTGATGGTACCTGCCGTCCTGTATAGCTTGTTAGGCCACAACCGAAGGTCTGTTTTACACAGCAGACTCTCATTACAGCAGATCTCGTTTCCGTCCATGGAGATATTTGTCTTCACATGCAGCATTTTGTTACCACACTGTTTACTGGAATTTGTTGACATTTTACTTGATGGTTGTGGCATTATGATCGGGGGGAAATAATCTTTGCCATACAAGAGGTTGGACGTTCTTTAGAAAATCATAAATCATGTTGGTAATCAAGGAGATGTCGGGGAGAATTGAACAGAACAATCAGTTAAAATAACCTTGAAAAATCGACATCACCATCTGTTACTGTTAGAAACAATTTATTGATACATGTAACAACTTCTTTAACACAAGATTGTGGTTCCTCAGAGCTTCTGTTATACATGGCTTAAATATTGTTTGACAATTTCAAAAGTTTCTCTCACATCAGATACAAAGTAAATCTATGGTCTCTGAGTCCAGGATATTTTATCTAAATGTAATGGCAACATATTTCACGAGAGAATTGCAAATAGACAAATACTGGCATTTCAGAGATCTTAATGTTCCTATATTTTAACCTCAATTAGTGAATTATCTATCTGTTAATAAAAGTTTCATTCATGTCATTATTTATTTTTTTTCAAGAGATGATTTACAGTAGCTTTGTCCATTGATGAGCTGTTTTTATCCAAGCTTTTAACACTACATGCTTGTTTTCCACAGCTGTCTGTGGGATGATTGATCATTGAATATATTGTCTGTCCTAACGTGTATGTCAGAATTCCATTCCATTTTCATGAAGCATACATGTCTTGTTATTACCTCCCCTGGAGGATGTCAGTGAGGAATAAACTCTACCTCTCACATTGTGGTCTGTTTGTTATGGCAGAGTGACGTTAAATCAGAGCACGTATCACATCCTCCTAGTTGAGTCTCGACAACAGCACCGGTAAATGTTTCTGAATATTCTGCAGACACCCACCTTGATGCAACCATTAGAGTAAAGTGAATCTATACCTCCAGTATTTGGAAGTTACAAATATGACTGCTTATGTAAAAAAAAACATGCCAGTTGTTATTTGGACAGACCTTGCTTCAGGTATCATCCAACCTATTCACAATCAAAAAGTAATCAATATAGATATAATAATACACCTGTAATCATTTGTCATTGACAAATTGCATAGACAAGATTCCAGTCCATGTAACATCACTCGGCATTCTGATGTAAGTTGATTGTGTTAACTCTTGTCTGTGAAAACACCATGCCTTTTCAAAAGTGGTCAAATGCAAGCTTCAGCCAATGGAGCTAAGCCAGTTTCCATTTATCAAATGGTCTGACATCCACGTTTGTGAAAGCAGCTGTGGCAGAGTGAGTGAATATAGTTGTATGTCGCTTTTAGTAATATTCTAGCAATATGACAGGGGACCCCAGAAATGGGCTTCACACATTGTGCCTATGTGGGGAATCGAACCACAAGGGCACACCATCGCCCTTGCTGTGGTAGAGAGGGTTAGATCGCTGTGGTAGAGAGGGTTAGATCGCAGACTGTGCGCTCGTGATTAGATGTCTTATTCTGAGTGTGGGTTCAAATCCCGGATGTGACTCAAACCCCCCCAAAATACCAAAATCTGTAATCCCAAACATAACATGTTGTACTCTTATCTAGGCAAATAATCAAGCTAAGGAACACATGAGTACAATTAGATTATTATGTCAAATGCAAGCAACAATGTTGAACATATGATAATACTTAAAAGAACAAGATTTTTTATATCAGAATATTATTCTATAAACTGAGCACAACCACTACTTTCACAAATTTCATACCATTTGAACAAAACAGTTGACAAATACCCATAGGAAGATCAGCATTCTGTATGACAGAAGTGTAGAGATCAAACTTTTGTAAATCATAGTTTTGTGTGGCCCTGATTTCCATTTTGATACAAGACAGGACACGGACACAGACTACACTGGATTTTTTTTATTAACACCATTCATTTACACCACTGATGTCATGTGATGGTATGTAGATATCAACAACTCCAGCGGCCAGATAAGAACTAAAATATTTTGTGATTTAAATATCTCTCAACACACTATGACATTCATATCCACATATCCTGAACAACATTAGCTTCTGCAACAGCTGGAAACGCCTGTGTATATATATATATATATATACACACACAATGATGGGGCAATGACCTACACGGTCCCTGGGTTAAATCTTGCCTGCGAAGGAACCATTAGCTCTCTGGTCGTCCCACTTGTCAGTCTGAAACAAAGTTGACTTCAGTAATCCCTGTCACATTATTTGGTCACAAGCATGAATTAATAGAACTACACAGGGGTGGAAATAACCCATTGCCCGACGTCCGAGTCCAATGTTTTTATCTGTCGGGCAAGCAAATTTGTATATCACACTGTACCGGTGTCCAGTTGACTTTCCCATGTTAATTATGTTGTTTATTTAAAAAATCAGCAAGAAAACGGTCGGTATAGTGGAAAAATTATCAGGGCAAGTGACATTATATGTGCCACTGTACCGGAGTACACTATCAATTTTAAAGTTATTTCCACCCCTGCTACATGTCATATGCTTACACATCTGATCATAACATAACCTTCAAACTTCAACAACAGAATCAGTCCTATTCCCAGGAAATGAAGCGAATGAGAAGCGATATTATTTTATGCCATATTTATCGTTTGCGCAGCTGCATCCTGGTGGACTGGGCCTGACACCACTACTAAATAGCATGAACTCGGCACTGCGCGTCACACCAACACACAATCAGTAATGGTACAAAGAATAACTATTCACCATTAGCCAGCTCTTTCAACAACAAAGACAAGAAAGGACCTATTCTGCCCCAACAAGGGTTTGTCCAGTTCACATGTAGGCATTATTCTCTGCAAACATAACTGGGGTTGGTGAGTAAGTGAGTTTAGTTTTATGCCACACTCAGCAACATTCCAGCTTTATGGCTGCGGTCTGTAAATAATCAAGTCTGGACCAGACAATCCAGTGATCAACAGCATGAGCATCGATCTGCGCAATTGGGAACCGATGACATGTGTCAACCAAGTCAGCGACCTGACCACCCGATCCCGTTAGTCGCCTCTGACAACAAGCATGGGTTTCTGAAGATCAATATTCTAACCCGGACCTTCACGGGTTACTGGCGTTAGTAGCAAAGGTATGTCTACAGTTTATAAACTTTGTAGAGCTTTTAACTGAACTAAAACAACGTTATCTTCTGAACTCATGTCTAAATGTATCCCTGAATTCAAAATCTAAATGTATTACTGACACAGTAGGGGTAACTGTTTCAGCTTTAATACATAGCTATACATCAGTATACAACATACCATCAACATTTTGTACCTATTTAGGCTTATTGTGTTTGCTGTTAAACGCTGCACTAAACATGTTAAGCAATAACATATCTACAGGATGGCTGAACCCTTTAGTGATCCAAGGATTAATATAAGCAGCAGTCCCAATGGTTGAGGTATGATGACTCACAATGAACTAAGTCACCAAGTGTGCCCACCATTATGTCACTGCTTTCAACCAACATAGATTACTAGGTTTCTACTTCTCATGGGTTCCTGCAGCAGAACTACACTGTGTTAAACAGTGTAGTGGAGATCAGCGCTTACCAAAACACTATTGAAAGACATGCTTACCCATCTAGAAGGGCACATCGTTTGGTAGACCCTCTTGAAGTAGTCACATGGTGCATAGTCCTCACCCTTAATCTTGTGGCATCGGTGGAAATCTACATAGTTCTGCCAGCAATTCCTGCAATAAAACATCACATGGCAGAATGTGCAAAGTAATTCCAGTTATAGCATGGGAGGAAAGCCCAATGTGGTACAGGTTTCAGATGTTTACTGAAAAAGAAGAGTATGGAGCTGACAAACTTAGAAGGGAGAGAAACTCATCAGGGAGAACTGGGTTTCAAACACAAAAGGATGCAATTCTGCACAGCACATTGTGGAGCTTTAGACAAATGGGAAACCTATTCATCAATTTCCATAAAATGAACATGATTGTGTTAAACATTTTGAACCGTTATGATTTGTCTAACTTTTACTGCTCTCCTTAAAAATCACAAAACACTTCTGTGTGAGGTCTTAATTCTTAACTAGTCAGAGTTACGAACTCGGCACTCCTGTGTCACGTATCAAATACCAACCTGGTCTGGTTCTGGTTGGGGAACCTGGCATCAAATGGAGCAGTCCACAGAACATACTTGTCATCCGACATGATGGCGTTAGACATTAACCTGAAACCAAACCCATAGTGTCAAACTAACTGCAATATCAAAAATGAAAACACTTGCAGCATTATTGTAGTCTGTGCCAAGCAACAACTGGCAAAACTTTCAGCTGGATTATCTGGGGGTGAAACGGTATACCGTAGTATTAGTAGAACCGCAGTACTTTGCCATCAAACTGAAACAGCCAGAGCCAAAGGCCTTGTACCGTTTCACCCCTAACAGTATCTTTAACATGTAAACAAGGTCAAAGATCAGGCATTTTTAGTAATGGGGGCTTGAAACTCATAGATTACTGCACAAGTCAATACTTCCAATCACAAGTAGAAGGCTGAGGTCCTCAAACATAAGAACATGGAATAACCTTTATGAAAAAACATATGTACTTGGTAACCACAACAGGGCAATTTGGGGGTTAGAGACTGAAAGGGAATCTTGCCAAAACTACCTTTACAACAGAAGGATTTGATGATATTAAACCAATGTTACCAAACACTGACAGGAAAACACATGATGCAAAAACGTAAACGTAATTTCTGAAGCTATACATTGAAAAACGATATATCCCAGATATGTTTGACATGGGGATGTCCTTCTCGTTACCTTCAAGATAACAACTTATTTGTAAACCAATGGATTTAAGTGTACAAACAGCTTACACTCTGGTCACTGCACACAGTTTAGATCATAGCCACAGCCCCATGTCAGCTGGACGACAACAACTCCCCCAAAACTCAAATAACGACCTCATTCACTACCCGTTTGACATTGATCATAAGGGACGAACACTTCAATAAAAAGCTAAATGACGCACTATAGCATTATTACGCCCCTCCCCACCAAGATAACTGGAACTAGCGAACGCTTCTGCATTCCAGGTGTGTGTTTATCATGATTTCCTTAGAAACGTGCAATGCACACCATAACACGTCGGATTCATGACTTTGACACCCGTCTTTCAGATAAAAGAAATTGAAAATGAAGCCAAAATGATAAAATATACCGAAACAGTTGACACTGCATCTACAAATGCATCTGCCTGAGAATATCCAATATACTTTTCTTTACTATTTATCTATATAAATCGGCAAATTTCTACTCCTATCTCTGACCTTCAATGGACGTTCAACAAAATGGCGAGAAGAACGAACCGGAAGTTTCCAAAGATAACTCTGCCTGAAATAATTTACTCCATACAGCGCCTTGAATTAACCGACGTAATGCAGAGTCTGTGTTTCTGACGCAGCAGGTGCGGGGTAAAACACAGAACGATTATGCCTTCATACCAGAGACCATATAATAGATTCTATTATATGGTCTCTGATCATACAAATATTGATCAAACACATATTTATGATGTACAAATAAATTACTAACTGATCCACGCTGAGACGATGTATGTACGCAGCTTTTCATTCCTTTTACCGAACAACGGTGTCTTGAACTGACGTCTCAGAACGCACAATTTCGCCTGTTAAAATTTGTCTAATTAACATTTTTATGGTGTTTTTTTCTTTCACTGTTCCACTAATTATTATCTGTTTGATTTGGTTTGTGTTTTTGGTATTTGGGGAAGGGGATGTGGTTTGCTTGTTGTTTTTAACTTTGTTTTTGTTCTTTATCATTATTCGTTTTGTTTGTTTTTTGTTGCTTAGAAATCCAGTGATTGATATTATGAACAACAACACACACACCTCCCGCAGTCACTATTTATAGTCTGACTGTTCAAGCCCTACAAAGGTGTTGTTAATACCGGAACAGCGTTTCTGCGTAATGAATGCTGACATTGAAGAAAACGATACCCCTGTTGTTATGATAATTATCAGTATAGTTCTGCCCACGGGTTGAGTTGATGGGTTAGGGGAATCTTTTGCTCCTGAAGTGGAGCAGGTGTTAGGCAGGTATATAGGCCTTCATTACTCAGTACAACAAACTACTGACTTTGCTAAAAGATTAATGGACTTGTCTCTAGGCGTGTGAAATAACGTTGAAAATACTTACAGAAAGATATTATTCATAGTGCGACAAGCACATTATACAGGACAGATGAACCCGTGGACACAACAAACATGGTTACCAACAGCAACAAAGATGACCAACTGGGCCTCCGTTCACAAAGCACTAAGGTGATCGTAAGTTACTAAGGTAACCTTAGTGCAATGTTTAAGAATGGGAATTAAGGTTAACCTTAGTAAAGGTTGCTTCGTGAAAGGAGCCCCTGGACTACAGGTACTGGACCTACCACTGGTGATGAAACTGTTGCACAGAGACAGAAACTTCCACCAGAAATATGTCTCCTGTGCTGAGTACCACGCACTAGTGAATAAACCAACCACACCCTGGACTTTGGGTACAGTATTTCCTCATCCTGATGCTCGGGCGTCTCATAATTTCCTACAAGCCGATTTTATCAGGTTCTCTTCTGTTATTTTAATGCTGGCACAGTTGTAACTCACTGTTACCGAATCCCTAATTCGTGACTGACAAAAAGTGAACAGGAGTTATCATATCATGCTTTAACTGAATATCGTGAAATGATGGACCTCGCCTCTCAAACAACGCCATGGTTTTTATGTTTTTAGAAAGCGGATTTTCTGGCGTCAGTTTAAAGCAGTGTGTGTTGGAGGGTCTGCATCCAGTAGAGGAAATACGGTACATATGATATGGCACATGTCGTAATTAGCATATTACAGTTGGAAGAAACACCTTGAAGGATGTTTGGAGTTTAGGTGATGCTAAATCGGAACTATGAAGAGTGTATTTTACAACCAAACATGTTGTTTAACACCACCAAACATGTAGTTTAACACATCGGAGAAAACCACCGTTGCCTTGATTATGATTTCACTGCGGTTTTATTGTCAGTGAGTAACAAAACCTCTCCTCCTCATCCAGGTTTGGACCGACGTTATTGAAGTGATACTGGGACCGTGAGGGCCATATAGTCGGGGAAGCCATGAAACCAGCCGCGGTCACCTGGAGACAGTAATGTCACGAAGGAATCCGACAATCCCGATATAAGATTCACTGACAGATCCAGAGATTCCCCAGTTGTCTCTCCTGTTCACACACGATGGATGTGAAGTCACTGTCGATGATGGTGGTTGTAGTGATGCTGGTGTCGGCGGAGGTGCAAGGTACTGTATACAAATGTGGAAGTCGCCCATACTGGGGTATAGGGTTGTCTGTTGGGTAATAATAATACTGCGAGGTGCATTTAAGTAGAAAAACTGACAAAAGTGTGCGAGATAATGTCGTATTTGAATACCTCGTGGTACTTATTTCCTCGTTCAGATGCAATTTACAGCCGAGGAATTCCCGCTATTCCATCTGTGAAAATATTTTTACATATCTGCCAAAGTATGTTATTGTCACATCGTCATCTTTTTAACTATACACACGTACATCGTATATTATAGGATATGTATTGAAATACTTGTCTCAATATTCTTTCCAATATAGTCTGACACGAGGTGGATCGTTACGCTGTACTTTGCACTACAAAGATACAGATCTCAAATACTGATCATGGGTTTAGTCTCGGATTTCCCTTAATGACGAGGGGCTGTGGGGTAGCCCAGTGGTTAAAGCGTTCGCTCGTCACGCTGAAGACCCGGGTTCGATTCCCCACAATGTGTGAAGCCAATTCCTGGTGTCCCCCGCCGTGATATTGCTGGAATATTGCTAAAAGCGGCGTAAAATCAAACTCACTCACTCACCTTAATGACGACTTGGAGTAGTGGACGTTTATTTGGGTGTGGCTGATGGTGATTTTATCGAGAAGCATGTACGATGTGAAAGTCTAGTACGCTGTAGCAGCGTTGTAGTGAAGTATTCTTGTATCTTCAGGTTGTTATGTGGATTGCCCGATGCGCGCGTACTGCCAGGCGTACTTCGACTTGTGGACCGGATGCAGTATGTGTACGTGCTCTGGTAGAGTGATACAGGAAGGTCAGTGGCCAAGTCATGTCGCCTGCTTTGTGGTAGGAAGAACATGAGTCAGTGAGTGAGTGAGTTTAGTTTAACGCCGCACTCAGCAATATTCCAGCTATATGGCAGCAGTCTGTAAATAATCGAGTCTGGACCAGACAATCCAGTGATCAACAGCATGAGCATCGATCTGTGCAATTGGAAACCGATGACATGTGTCAACCAAGTCAGCGAGCCTGACCACCCGATCCCGTTAGTCGCCTCTTACGACAAGCATAGTCGCCTTTTATGGCAAGCACATGGGTTGCTGAAGACCTATTCTACCCCGGCATCTTCACGGGACAGGAAGAACATGAATACTTGAACGTTAGGGATAACAACTTCTTGTCTGTAATAATGTTTCAGGGCTGCTGTTTGTCACTTCTCGGGGGGAACGGAACACTAAATAAAGTGTATTCCTAAACAATACCATGCTTTCAAAATGAGATGGACTTGCGTTTATATAAATAACAAATGACAAAATAACTGAATGCTGATGAAGCAAAGACAACGTAATGGCAGCCATCTTGGATGAAAGATGAAAGGGGGGACTACTCTTCGCTAACCCGGACACATATTCAGTCTGGATGCTGTAATTATATCGGTAGCTTATCTGATATCAAAGCATTGTCCTAGGGCCCGGTAGTCATAAGTGTTAGTTTGCTCTCAGTCTGCATCATAACATTAAAGTTGGTAGATCTAAACAGTTGCTTTTGAACATTTAATTAACACGGACTGAATGTGCTAGACATGTCAGCTGACCTTCACCTCGCCTTCTTTAACGGGAACAGTTAACGGGACCACTCTGTCAGTCTCATCAAAACCAGATCATTCTGTCCGATACGACCCTCTCTGTGTGATCCTGGGAGTAACGCGTTATAAGATCGATAAAACTGCAGTAAAGAAAGAGATCAATATAACAAGTCAAAAAGTTCGATTTTCAGTTTTCAGATGCCAGACTTGTTACAACCGGTGTCCTCTATTTCAGTGTGTCCCAACAAGATGATTTGTCCCAGGAACTGCCCGTTCCTGAAGGATTCCCAGGGCTGCTTCTCTTGCTCGTGCATCTCGGAAGGTTTCAAGTTCCCCATCTGAGTTGTCGCCCTTCCTTTCACCACGCTATCTGATCTCACAACCTTGTTAAACCAGCAATAAAATATATCAGCTGATTCGTGTTGCCATGTCTTCATTATGCGAACATTGAAACTGGGCCCGGTTTACAAAACGATCGTAGCCTTGCTCTTAAAGGCGAACTTTACCATACCACAGCCGTAGTGCTAAGGTCGCTTTGAGAAACGAACGCAGCGATTCATTAACAAGTGTCATGGGTTATTTGAACTAGTGACCACTGAAAGCTGACCTATTCATTTCCCAGTTTGATCCCATTTGGGATGAAGTTGGTTGTTTCGGTGTTACTGGATGCAGTTTTGGGGTTACACCACCAGACTCGGGTTAGACGGCTTAGGTTTAAAGTATAAACTGTCTAAATAATAATGTCGCTTTGCGCCTTGAAGATATCTCAAGCAATGTGAAAATGTACGAAGAGTTTCAAGCTGAGGCGTATTTCCCCTGTCGATTATGGTTTCTGCTAGTAGGTAACTGTAGCAGGATCTACTGACGCCAGAAAACTGTTACAAGCTGAGGCGTATTTCCCCTGTCAATGTGGAACGGCCAACTAGTAGGTAACTGTAGCGGGTCTACTGACGCCAGGACACTATTACGACAAGCTGAGGCGTATTTGACACAGACGCCAGGAATAAAAAAAACAGGTGTATGTATAAACGCCTGCCAAATGATTACAACGACGTGAAGATCAGTTGTCATATTGTGGTAAGTAACTTTAGACAACAGCCGATCAGAAGAGGTATTTTGACGTGATGTATCTGCAAGAATAAAGGGACGTTATTCAATCGAGCATAATGGTGCGACAAAATACAATCGAACACAATGAAGTGACAAGATACAATCGAACACAATGAAGTGACAAGATACAATCGAACACAATGAAGTGATAAGATACAATCGAACACGATGAAGTGATGTGATATATCTGAGAAATAAGGAATGTGATTCAATCGAACACATTGGAGTGGCAAGTTACAATCTCCTACAATGACGTCCCGTGACACTGTCGCAAATGGTATTGGTGCCGGTCATCGCTAGTCACCTGACTATTCTCACAAACTAAGAGAAATGCAGCGTACTTAATTAACTGGCACCGAAGAGGTTGTGTAAAAGTGAGCACTTTGCATGGATAACAACTTCTTTATTTAAAATATTGGACTCATCTGCGATTAACCGATGTACCATATTGTCACCTTATCGCGATAACTACTGATCATAATAGAATACAGAAGTAATACACTTAATAATCGAAGATGGTTGCAACAATAGTGGAAACAAAGAAAATAATTAGGTAATGAGGTAAGCATAAATCTCCTCGTATACAACGAGAATTTGTACCCTGGAATCATAGTTGACAATATATGTCCATCGAAATATCTTAATGATTCGATGATAAGATTATAAAGTTCTTAATCAGGGCAGTCTTGTAAAACACTTGTCCAGCTTGGTGCCCTTGTACAAAAACAATCTTACAGTAAAGACTGTTGTAAATCTGCCTTTTGGTGAATTCCAACCATCTTAGCGCTAAGATCTGCTTGTACGACACCTTAGATACAAATAGCTATACAGGCCATGATCTGCAGTCGGATTCGAGCGACAGGTGCCAAAAGCCACACTCAGAAATTAAAATTGTTGATTTATTTTATACATACTTTCCCGGGTTTTCAATCTGCTAGGTAACTGTTCGCCACTTGAATAACACTTGATCCAATGTATCTATGTAGTTCTGACAATGTTGAATCATTCCTAGACAGGCCAAAGGTTTATTATTGCCGTAAGTAAAGACATAGCTTACTGTGGAATTACTAAACATTCCGGTCCCGGCGATCTTAGTTCTACCACAATCGTCAATGCACTGCTTTATAACCATTTATACATAGCTAGTCGAAGTGCTGAGATTGAATTATGGAGTGGGGCTGTGCAAGAGGAATGTGAATCAACAGTCATTTCCCTCCAATACACACCCCGACGCCACACAGAAACATGATAAACAACAGAATTTCAACCATCCCAAGAACTCAGTTAGAAAGCAAAGAATGTTGCCTGGTTGTAAATATCTAATAAACACAACAAGTAAAGTACTGTCGGAAATAGAAAAAACACTGGGTTTTACTCGCATATATATCTACAATTAGTGTAGTTAATATGTGAAAATGTGAAATATCTGTTAAACTAAGTTCGGCCTAACTACAGTCTCAGTGGTAGGGAGATAGGAAACGTAGAAAAGGGACTTTACTGAGGAGAGATTAGTGCAGAAATTAGCACTGCAGTTTTTTTCTAAGACGAAAGCGACTTTTGTGGAACGGACCATGTCTTTATGCAAATTCGTGTGCGATGATATTGTGTTACAAATGAAACTTTTTAAATGCCCATTTTGAAATTAAAATTAGCTTCATTATAAACGATAGCTGATACTGTCACTATAAAAAGAAACAGGTAGGAAGGGTCGTCTCAAAAGCAAAACCAGGACGGGTGTGGCAGACGGTGGTGGGAGTCGGGCTAGGGGATAGAGATATCAGCTAAGATGAGATAATCCTTTAGGGGAATTAAACTGGGGAAGTAATCGGCATGTCATAACAATTTACAAATAATAACCAGTCCTGTCGATCATCGGATGGTCATGTCACCTATATATTTTGAAACATTTGATACGATGGCTGATCTAAGCTTTTCTATGGGTATCATACTCTGTTACATATCTCAACATACATATCATGAAACAAAGACACGTAAGATGTTAATCAATAGATGAGACATATACAACGCACATGAAAAAGCATAAAGTATCTTTGAGATGACCCCTCGTGCGTGTATGCAGTACATGCTTTTCATGCCAGGTGAGTCGACGGTCCGTCGTCATACCTGGCAGAGCGACCTAATTGCCATCTATAGTCTGATCTATTGTTTTCAGCAGCTATTCGTATTTTTCTAAGTTTTGCCCGATTTTACGTGTAAACATGCTTTTCTGGATATCCTATAACGCATCCTACTGAACGCTCAATTAGGCTGATGTTGGTTATTTCGACATATGCTATTTGCAATTGTGTACATTTTAGGGATACAGAGTCACAGCCTAAAAACAGTTTTCCCCTATTTCCGACAGTACTTTTAGTATTCCTCGTTCAAGTTAAAGAGCGAAGAGATTCGCGACCGAGTTATCTCCCCTTAGCTCCTCAGGTGTGTCATTCTTCAGGTATGTCACCAGATGTCGCCAGGTATCGTGAAATAGCGGCCATTTCCACTTCCAGGTGTTTATATTTCGTGAAATAAGGTCATAGGTATTGTTTAAAATCTATACCACAAACAATATCGGCTGATGAAAATGGTGTCGGCGTCCATATCCCTCGGCGGAACCGCCCTGGTCACGATCGTGTTAATGTCTTCCTTGATCAGCACAGGTGAGTCCCAACTAGAACACGGAAGGGAGCGTACTTCAAATGTTTGGTTTTGTTCGTTAACAGAAATCATCGAGATACAGACTTTAATGATATTACGTCATATGTTCATGTTGTTGTTGCTGCTATCAAGTGTCTCAGAAGGAGAACTGTTCTACACTAAGACAGAAGGTCACTAGTGTAACCTCAATCAATGTACGTGACACTAAGTTTAATGCGGGGGCTCAAACTTCACACTCGGAAAGAAGATTGGCGTGACTCAACTCTTCGACATGTAGGATTCTGTGTCTTATTTAATCAAATGATATCAGTAGAAATACGTACAGAAAGACCACCACCAATTACAGTTCGATCTAGAGAGTAAAATGAAAGTGGCAGCACCATAAAATGAAAGGCTGTCCGAGAGATGGAGCACCCCATTCACAAACCTTAGGTTAGTGAGATAGTATGTGGGCCAACCATCTCTTACGAATATATCTAAGGTGGTTCACGGAAACTCTGTAATTTTTATTCAGTGTACAGTTCATTGTTGAAGGAGAACAATTGACTGCTCATGAACGAGCACTTAATTTTTGTGATAGCACCCTTGGTCCTATGGTGTGGTGTTAGCTAATTAGACCAACTCATCAACGAAGCTTAGCTTCAAGCTGGCAAAGAGAGTTCCATCCCAAAACATGGCGCTGATTGAAATCCGAAGTGCACCCAGTTAAGTGCATTAAGGGATTCACACATTGCATCCATTTGGGGAATCAACACAGGTCTTTGGCATGACCGCCAAATGCTTTAACGTTTAGGCTGCCCCATCAGTCTGCTGACTCTAGAACCAGACTGTATGATGAGGATCCTGTTTTGACCATTTCAATGATGATATTTCAATGATATATTTCAGTGATGATATTTCAGTGATGATACAGTCAGTGTGGGAAACATGAGCAGAGATTGGATACAGACTAACTACTGATATCATTGACAGGCAAAATGGAGAAAAAGTTGTTACTATGTGCGCCATGTTGACTTTTAAAAAATTCAATTACTAACTTTCAAGTTCATTGCCATAATGTAAAAGAAAACACTTGTTTGTCCACATGGCCTAAGCCACCTCTTTGCAGCCATCACATCAGTTGTATTTACTTGAACTTGGCAGTTTGTAAATCCAGTCAGACCATTCCACTGGCTTATTACTTAGAGGATAATATTGACTTCTGAGCAGGACTAAAATAATCTCTGTAGAGACTGGTGGTGTTCCGATGCTCGAAAATCTATCGAAAGAAGGATTAACTATTTTTTTCGATTGTAAAAAACATATTTTTGATTAATTGGAATTTTGTTGTTTTAGTATAACACTCTTCAGTGAAGTAGACTAACCATTAAATTTGATGAATATTCACGAAGAAACATGCGCACAACAGCGTAAAGATATGCGCATTGTAAAATTTTAACCACTTTCATTTTTTAATTACAATTCCAGTGTCTTTTTTGCATGCATGCATTTCATTGCATGACAGTATTGGTTATAAAAAACATCAATTAGAAAAAAATTCACCACAAGTCCTCCAATAATCAATAGTGGATTTGGTTTCCAATTCCCAACACTAGTAGAGACAGTTCAAGTTGGATCCGCCTGTACACAGGCTGCGGCACACTTGTGCATCTGTTAACAGGGTTGAGTTTGGAAGTGGTGAAGTCGTTGTAAAGCGTTTTGACAGCATGTTCAGATTATTTTCTGCTGGATATTCTTCTGAAGTGGACCAAGTTGGCCTAACAGGTTTTAACATACTCTGGAATCATTTGAGTTAATTGACAAGTTCAGGCATGAATAATGATGAACAGCAACGATTATGTTTAGAGACAGTGATAAATCATGTGACAACCATGTTGGTTCCCCTGCAGGTTCAGCATTGAGCTGCTACATCTGCAACTCCACCCTCGACCACAACTGCCAGGAGAAGTTCGACCACTACAGTCCGGTGGCGCTTGCCAAGAAGCGGGACTGTAACATGTGGGGTGCCCAGTTCTGTATCAAGGTGACAGGGCTCTGGGGAGGTGAGTTCTAGCAAAATAGGGTGAAGTGATATACGTGGTATACACCGGGCTCTGGGGCAGGTGAGTTTTAGCAGAACAGGGTGAAGTGATATTCGTGTTATTGACCGGGCTCTCGGGAGGTGAGTAACAGCCCATTAGGGTGAAGTGATATACATGTTATTGACCGGGCTCTCGGGAGGTGAGTAACAGCCCATTAGGGTGAAGTGATATACGTGTTATTGACCGGGCTCTGGGGGAGGTGAGTTCTAGCAGAACAGGGTGAAGTGATATACGTGGTATTGACCCGGCTCTGGGGAGGTGAGTTCTAGCAGAACAGGGTGAAGTGATATACGTGGTATACACCGGGCTCTGGGGCAGGTGAGTTTTAGCAGAACAGGGTGAAGTGATATACGTGGTATTGACCCGGCTCTGGGGAGGTGAGTTCTAGCAGAATAGGGTGAAGTGATATACGTATTATTGACCGGGCTGTGCGTAGGTAGGTTCTAGCAGAACAGGGTGAAGTGATATACGTGTTATTGACCGGGCTTTGCGGAGGTAGGTTCTAGCAGAACAGGGTGAGTGATATATGCGTTATTGACCGGGCTCTGGGGGAGGTGAGTTCTAGCAGAACAGGGTGAAGTGATATACGTGGTATTGGCCGGGCTCTGCGGAGGTAGGTTCTAGCAGAACAGGGTGAAGTGATATACGTGTTATTGACCGGGCTCTCGGGAGGTGAGTAACAGCCCATTAGGGTGAAGTGATATACGTGTTATTGACCGGGCTCTGGGGGAGGTGAGTTCTAGCAGAACAGGGTGAAGTGATATACGTGGTATTGACCGGCTCTGGGGAGGTGAGTTCTAGCAGAACAGGGTGAAGTGATATACGTGGTATACACCGGGCTCTGGGGCAGGTGAGTTTTAGCAGAACAGGGTGAAGTGATATATACGTGGTATTGACCCGGCTCTGGGGAGGTGAGTTCTAGCAGAATAGGGTGAAGTGATATATCGATGGTGACCGGGCTGTGCGGGTAGGTTCTAGCAGAACAGGGTGAGTGATATACGTGTTCTAGCAGAACAGGGTTCTAGCAGTGATATATATATCGTTATTGACCGGGCTCTGGGGAGGTGAGTTCTAGCAGAACAGGGTGAAGTGATATACATGGTATTGGCCGGGCTCTGGAGGTAGGTTTCTAGCAGAACAGGGTGAAGTGATATACGTGTTATTGACCGGGCTCTGGGGAGGTGAGTTCTAGCAGAACAGGGTGAAGTGATATCGTGGCATATTGACCGGCTCTGGGGCCGAGTTCTGGCAGAACAGGGTGAAGTGATATACGAGGTGAGTTCTAGCAGAGAACAGGGTGAAGTGATATACGTGGTATTGACCAAGCTCTGGGGAGGTGAGTTCTAGCAGAACAGGGTGAAGTGATATACGTGGTATAAACCGGGCTCTGGGGAGGTGAGTTCTAGCAGAACAGGGTGAAGTGATATACGTGGTATTGGCCGGGCTCTGCGGAGGTAGGTTCTAGCAGAACAGGGTGAAGTGATATACGTGTTATTGACCGGGCTCTCGGGAGGTGAGTTCTAGCAGAACAGGGTGAAGTGATATACGTGGTATACACCGGGCTCTGGGGAGGTGAGTTCTAGCAGAACAGGGTGAAGTGATATACGTGGTATTGACCAAGCTCTGGGGAGGTGAGTTCTAGCAGAACAGGGTGAAGTGATATACGTGGTATAAACCGGGCTCTGGGGAGGTGAGTTCTAGCAGAACAGGGTGAAGTGATATACGTGGTATTGACCAGGCTCTGCGGAGGTAGGTTCTAGCAGAATAGGGTGAAGTGATATACGTGTTATTGACCCGGCTCTGGGGAGGTGAGTTCCAGCAGAATAGGGTGAAGTGATATACGTGGTATTGACCAAGCTCTGGGGAGGTGAGTTCCAGCAGAATAGGGTGAAGTGATATACGTGGTATTGACCGGGCTCTGCGGAGGTAGGTTCTAGCAGAATAGGGTGAAGTGATATACGTGTTATTGACCCGGCTCTGGGGAGGTGAGTTCCAGCAGAATAGGGTGAAGTGATACATAGAGGATACTAAACAACCTTCTGTGTAATACCATTTTTATTAAATGAGTCAATGATTTGGTATCAAATGAGCAAGAGAGAGTTTGATACTAAATCTTTTCAAGGAAGCAAGTTTAGTATTCTGTTTATTACTCTCCAATATAAATTGATAGAAACTGCCTACAGTGTGATGACTCTCAGCTTTGAGCAAGTCAAGCAAGGTCTAATACCATTGTGACTTTGTACCTGTAAACCATTATGACGTCATACATCTAGCAGTATTACACGAGTGTTATAGTGCCGTAAAAATATTACCCTGCACGGGCAAGTAATAAACATGGTATAGATCATGCTCTGGGGAGATGCGTACCAACAGGCAGAGTGAGGTGATATACATGGTATAGATCGGCCTCTGGGGAGATGCGTACCAACAGGCAGGGTGGGGTGATATACATGATATAGACTGGGAGCTAGGGAGATTTACAAAGGTGTGCACAGATTTCAGAGATGTCAATTTTCCACAGATTTCTGCCGATTATATTTCAAATTTATCAATTCAAATCCCCCATTCGATGAGTCACAGTATTAAGTTTTCAGCTGAAATTAGATTTTCCTGTAGCCATCCCCCAGATTTGCAGTTTTGTCACTTCCAGCATCACAAGTTTTATGTAAACATGTCATGAAGTTACACTGAGGCTGCACAGATGGAGAGGGAGAGTAACAGTGTGAGGGAGAGTGAGGGAGAGTAACAGTGTGAGGGAGAGTGACAACAGAGTGAGGGAGAGTAACAGTGTGAGGGAGAGTAACAACAGTGTGGGAGGGAGTAACAACAGTGTGAGGGAGAGTAACAACAGTGTGAGGGAGAGTAACAGTGTGAGGGAGAGTAACAGTGTGAGGGAGAGTAACAACAGTGTGAGGGAGAGTAACAGTGTGAGGGAGAGTAACAACAGTGTGAGGGAGAGTAACAGTGTGAGGGAGAGTAACAGTATGAGGGAGAGTAACAGTGTGAGGGAGAGTGAGGGAGAGTAACAGTGTGAGGGAGAGTAACAGTGTGAGGGAGAGTAACACGTACTTTATTGCTACACTTTAGATGAACATCACAAGATGTCTAAAATGGCAGAATGCCTTTGCCAGTTGGTGACTTGTCAGTATTTGACCTTTTCTACTCCAGGGATTGTCGGAACACATCGGTTCTGCAGCTCCCGAGACCTGGGCTACCAATGTCAGGATATCTGGTACCCAGACCATGACCGCATGTACCGCGCCTGTGTCAACACCTGCTCCAACGACAACTGTAACGCTGCCAGTCAGATGGCGGTGACATCTCTCGGTGTCGTCCTGTTTGGCTGGTTACTGCATCGTCTGCTGTGATTCATGAAAAACCTGGCCTTGAACTACTCTGTAGCACCCCGAAGTGATGTAACTCAAATTGACAATAGCATTTCTGAAAAAGATGATCTGGAAACAACACTGGTTTTATGGACTTTTATCTGAAATTTTAGCCAACTGAGCTGTGTTTTGTTTTTTAAATACTGTTCAGTTAAAGAATATTCCCCAGAATTTAAACTAGAATGTAGAATTCAACTGGTCTTTATTGCAAATAGCTGAGCAAGGGAGATAACTAGACATGTTACCTTATATTTTTGACAAGGGAGATAATTTTGAAATCCTCATTTCCAATCGTTATCATGCCATACTTCACTGTGAGCGAAGTTGTACATAGATCCCCGCTTCACTGTAAATACCCATGACCTGTAAATATGTGTGGTTGGCCGAATGGCTCAGCTGGTGCAGATGGATCAATACATGCTGTGTCTCAGTGCCAGTGTATATTGGAGATAGATCACAGATATCTAGTGTTAGCTCATTGTTACGACTGAGAGAAAACATGCTTGTTTACTTGTGAATTATTGCTTTAGTTTCAATGTACATGATTTAAACGTGATATGAATTGAAAGGGAACAAGAAAATTATGATGTTTTTTATGCAATGAGAACAGAAATAAACACCTTAGATGAGTAAATGTCACATAAGTTTAAGAATAAATAACATTTTGGCATACCAGTGGATCCCCCTCTACACACAACTATGTGTTGTGTTATTGAGAGACACAGTATGCTCTTGTAAATAACATACAATGGAGGACGATACCAGGATGGGGGGTCTTACATACACACCTTGACACAAAAGTTACAGAAAACTTCAGACAAGTCTTCTTGTCTTCAATTTCCCCGAACAGATCTAAAAGACTTAAATTTCAGAGTGGTAAAGTTAGCAAAACACCAAGAATAAATACTGTCTGGTAGTGTGTCCCTCCGTCCATAATTGAAACATGTTGACATATTTGCCATTTCATATTACAGTAGTCAGATATCCATTGCTAGTTCATCACCTGGGACATTACTATGTATTGTTTAATGTTTACTCAATTCCGGGTTTCATTCTTCATCCACTTGTAAAACATTTATCGCTGAAGTTTCAACTATTTTAGAAATGTTGGTACAATGTAACTTGGTAAAGGATCTGAGTCAATAGGAAATCATTTGTAAGAAATAATGCCATGGCTTATACTAAAGAGATATATTTCCATGTAGAGTTCACCCGTTAGTAGCCAAGCCTGTGTAGGTTTGAGGGATGTCGATGCCATGGCGACAGAGTGTCGAAGGACCAGTACAAGCAACAGAGATGATGGTCCGCAAACTGGAGAAGTCTTAAACGTGTTTTGATCTGTAAGAATTTTGTTGAGATGAGACAAGTGTTCTTCCTCTAATTTGAAAATTATATTTTTGACCTAAGATAGAAAATAACAATGGGGAAGAGGCATCAGAATAGCCGTGTTCTTCCTTGCCCAGGGTCCTCCTCTCTGTTGTCTTGGTAACAAAAAGTAGTCGTGCTGTTCCTTTGCTGTCACTCCCTCCCATATTCTTTCTGCTGCTTGCGATGTTAATGAGGCCACATCAGACAGATAGTATATCAGATACTTGCAGTAAGACAGAGACAAAATGAAAATTCATGATTTTATATCACTGAACAGTGATGTGCTAGTTTATCAATCCACAGTTGGTATTTCCAGCACTCCAGTTGCAGTGTTAGGGTTCAGTATCATCAAGTTATCATTTAGCTCTAGATTCAGCACGTGATCAGCAATGCTATGTAAATATGTTACATACAAAACAAATTTTGTACTACTTGATGTATAGCAATATTTTTTATGAATAAATTTGTATCAATATTTATATTTTTTCTGTTTATTTCACCGAGATCATACAGACAGCTGGAACATTATTAAGGGCAAAAAGTGATCCATTCCATTGTAGCGTGAGATGACAGATGGTTTAAACTCTTGAAAAACTTAAAACAAGCGCCACAGCACGCTGGGAAACCACCTCCTTGACATGAGGAGCAAAGGGAGACAATCAAGGGATTCACGGAATACTTTATCTTGGGGTAATATTTGCTAATAGTTTGAATGTACACTGGGATTTGTGACACATTACCTATTATTACGTTGGTTCTTTATGAAGTAAATACACTTAAATATATATAAGAACCACTCGTTCTTTTGAAGACATTTTGGGGAGAAGGCATACACGGGTAAAGGTAGACAACTCTTGTCATACTAGCAGCTCGTGCTCCTGGTTTGTGCGAGTCGGTGGACCATCACTCCCTACCCCGATTATCCGGTCTGTTGTACCGAGTGGAGATGGGGAACTGTATGACCAATGTAACACGTTTGAATTTGTTGAGGGAAAAACACAGAATCTATTATCGCATGTTTACCTTGATCAAAGACACAATTCAATGTAAAGGTTCTATCTAAATCCGCCCACCGCAAGTGGAACATGATTTCTAGGGAAATGGTTTCTCTTTTCAGCAATACGTTGATTTACTTGTAGACGTGAGGCAGTGTTTCATACATCGTCACGTCACTATTCTGTGCACGATATACAAGTGCATTGAATGTGCATGGCTGTTTACCTGGGAAGCCGGTGAGGGTAACCTAGTGGTTAAAGCGTTCGCTTGTCTCACCAAATGCACGAGTTCTATTCGCAAATGAGCACAGTGTGGGTGTAGTCGTGAGTGAAAAATATTTTACATTGTCGAGGAACTTAAGAACACAAATATCTGTACATTTAAGAGTTTCGTTTCAACCAGTACATACCAGAAGCACTGTAAAGAATCATTACGGAATAGTGACAAGGCAGGTACGATCTAGGTTAACAAATTTAAATAATATTTACTTGAGGGGTAGTATACAACGACATTGAACTAAATCATAAGTTTTCAGAAAAAAGAAAATCATTGATGGACTGCTTTTGCTAACAAACGGAACAAAGAAGCAACCATTGATGCATTTTGTTTGTCACAAATACTGTATTCCCGTCGCGATTGTGTTTGTATGTTTGTCAGCCCCACGAGGCCCACTACTCTAGTCATGGATGGACTGTAGCTCTCCTGCACGGGATGCTGTCATGAATCACTTAGGGAGATGTTTTCGTGGTTTTACCTTATACAGCGAGGAGAAGGTGTGTGGTTATTTAAATGTCCAACCTTGAGATTCACCAAATACACCAAAGTCATCTTGATACACGATACCAGAAACCTATATACAGAGTATCCTGTGTTACCTTAGCGCCCTTTGTAGTCGACTGAATAGACTCCCGATATATAATATCAGCTCGGGACAGTGCACAACACGGTTAATGGGACACAAAACACCACATTGTCTTTTCGGTGTATTTGGGTGAGAAGCTTCAGTGCTGCAATTCTCACGTCAGGAACACAGACACCCTGCATAATATATTCCGTGTACCAAACACTCAGCATTCAAACCAAGTCTGACATGTATGCCCTCAGATATCATCACGTGGAGTCCTGCTGGGTATATTTTTGTTGTTATTATTCTGCTTTACGTAAACACTTGCAGGCAGTAGACCGAGGACCACTATTTAATCTATAGGTGGATGAAGCAGGTAACTCTACCCCATCCAGTCCTTCCCAGTTCCAGGGCAATGTAACCTACTTCCACGCACCTGTCTTCCCCTTCCCTATCCTCCCTCCTAGGGAACGCCCAGTCACAGGTGTAGGGGAATGACGACTTTAATTACAGGTAAACAGTGTAATGTCAGGATGTGGATAGAAACTTAGTAACTCAGTCATGTCAGAATAACCCTCTCTTTGAATTGAGTTTTCTGAACGATTAAGCTTGACGAAGCGGCTATAAAATATCGCCTCTATACCTGCAGTATGTCGCGAGACAAACAGTATATCTGGAGCGAGGCATGCGCCACTGAAGTACAGTCACAGGGCAAAAATAGAGACTTGTATAAGAGAATGGCTCTAGGATATGGTTATGGCGAAATAATAACCTTGACCTATCATCATAGACTATAGCAGCGAGTGACCCACATTGCTTTACAACGTCGTTACTATACATCGTTATCTTGGCAAGGGAAACTCCACTCTTCAGGGGCGTAGGAACGGTTTTCAGAGCGGGGGATACTTTATGAAAAGTATTGGAAATCAAAATGATGGTTATGGTAGGTATATGGTTTCGTCTTGAAAAGGGGGCTACGCCCCTGCACTTTGAGCAATATGTAAATAGTTGCCTTGAGCAATATGTAAATAGTTGCCTTACTTACGACCATGAGTATGTTTTAATGTCAACAGTATATGCCGATCATCATTGAGGCGCTCACTGCACTGCCTGCTGTCCCGTTGGGATCAATTACCATATCATAAAACTGTTTACCTCAACTCGGAAACCTCGGAACTGAATGCAGGGATAGGTTTATTGTTAGTCCTTTCTCCAAAATGACCGACATTTTCTGATTGACGAAATTTGATAACGGAGTAAGTTAATCGATATTCCAAAGTTAATTAGTTTTGAAGAAGCCTCTTTCAGCATCACTTGTATCTAATTACGATAGATGACATAACGTGACACTATTCCTCCACACGGATTGGCCAGATGTGTGCGAGTGTTAAGTGTTTGGAAACAATCTTCACAGGATTGTTTAGCGTGTTGACGGCAGGCATTAAGTTGATAGAGCAAAGACGCTTGATAACTCACTACATGATAATCAGATTAACGTACATCTTGACATCCCGGAATGGGTAATAGACTACCTTGTTGGAACACCGCCTAAAATCTCAGGCCACACTCTGGGACTGGGGTACACTACTCACACCAACTCGGTCAATCCCTCTGCCCGATATCCAAGTGCCTTCATTTCTGTACTGGGCAGGATGGTTTTCAATAAGAAAAGATTCCCATTACAAAAAGTGTGTGTTACGTCAGTGACTTATAAAGGGATACGGAGGATCGGCCGCTCACAACAAAAAGTTGACATATTGAACGATTTTCTTTGCGATATGAGCAATCTACGCAGCTGAATTGGTCTATATTTCTAGGAAGAAAGTGGAGAGCTTTTTATTCTGCAATACAAGGCGGGGATAAATAGGCTACCCATTCTGTCCCAGAAGCGGCGTATCGCTGTACACAATGACGCCCACTTCCTGTTCGCGGGGTGCGTTGTCAACGTGATCGGAACGTCCTCTTTCAGTCAAATAACTGTAACAACATATTTTGCTCCCTATTCCGTGCAGTGCGTAGTCTACGTTGTCGGAACGTCCTCTTTCAGTCAAATAGCTGTAACAACATATTCTGCTCCCTATTCCGTGCAGTGCGTAGTCTACGTTGTCGGAACGTCCTCTTTCAGTCAAATAGCTGTAACAACATATTCTGCTCCCTATTCCGTGTAGTGCGTTGTCTACGTTGTCGGAACGTCCTCTTTCAGTCAAATAGCTGTAACAACATATTCTGCTCCCTATTCCGTGCAGTGCGTAGTCTATGTGGTCGGAACGTCCTCTTTAAGTCAAATAGCTGTAACAAACAAAAAACACATTCTGCTCCCTGTTCCGTGGAGTGTCTACGTGGTCGCAATGTCTTTCCACACCCGTGATACACTGTTCAGATAAATACGTAACTTCACTAATAACAGAAACTTGCAATTTGACATGCGAATACACAAACCCATTTTCCAGACTTTGAGTCGTTTTTCCAATATGTCATTAATTAATATCCCGTGCCAATATAGAGACGTGCCTATTTGATTTTACTCTATGGCATACGTTGTCGTCGTAGTAACAGAGACCTCTCTCGGGCGATTCATGATGGTTTGGTCGGATACCTTTCTCAAACCAGGCACATGTCGTACAGTGTCAGTGGGAGTAGCATGTCGATGATGTTGATGAAAGACTCGGATGTAGCGGTCTTGTGCAGGGTGCTAACTCTTGGTCTGCCACAATCTTGGGTTGACACGAGGCGAGTATACCGACTCTATGAACGAGATATGGTGGTAATGTGTACGTTGTAATGAGGCGTAACGGCAGACGGGACTCTCCACTCCATGACGTCCTGTGGTAATGTCGTGATCGACAGCGTTCAGTCTCGGCATTTTCCCGCTGCCAGTATGTCGACAATATATGACAAAACGTTGACTTGTTTTCTCTTGTAACCTCTTTTAAAGTCACAACTTCCACGTCATGTACGTGTAATCTGCTTTAATTGTCTTTTACATGCACTTTTTTTGTCTTAAGCTTCGAACGTTTGAAACGGTCTGCAACCCTTCGAAGCTCTGTGTCTCTCTTGGGGTTGGACTGACTGACTGAGTTTGGTTTAACGCCGCTTTTAGCAATATTCCAGCAACATCACGGCGGGGGACACCAGAAATGGGCTTCACACAATGTACCCATGTGGGTATTCGACCCCGGGTCTTCGGCGTGACGAGCCAACGCTTTAACCACTAGGCTACCCCATCGCCCCCTTGGGGTTGGAATCTCTGGAACATGTGACTACCATTTGTCAGTGAAAAATACAACATTTGTGTTGCGTGTTTTATGAATAAACCAAACCAACATTCCCACTGTGTTATATGTGTTTCTCTTGTTGAAGTGTATGCAAAAGTTTAAATTTTATAAGGTCAACGTAGGTAATAGCAGTGGATATAAGTTTTGTCTCACATATACCAGATTTGGAATTGTCCTCCACATTTCGTGAATTTTGAACCTTCGTCAAACACGTTTTCAAAATACGCAGACTGACGGTCTTTGAAGGTTTCGTCTAAAAAGCGCTATAAAGAGACTGAGTTTTGATGTTTGTTGCTCCAGAGAATTTGAAACCTCGTATCGTGTACATATACGCTGATCCATGGCTATGTTATCTGAATCATTC